TGTGTGTGTGTTTTCTTTTGAGAGCGAGCATCAGAATTTCATTTTTTAATCTGTGCCAGTATGTTCACAGAAAAAAGTGACACTAAAGGTTATCTTATCTTAGAAGGAGAGGAAAAGGGAGGAGACGGAAGTAGGGAGGGGAGAGGAGAAGGAGAGAGGGAAGGAGAGGGAAGTGGAGGGGGGAAGGGAGGAAAGGAGAAGGAAAGAGACTGGAAGAGATGGACTGTCATTGTAAAATGGAAAATGTGATGTATTATAAAGGAATATGTATAATAAAAACATTTTAAAAAGGTTATCTTATTTTAGTGTTAGTCTATTTTCTGAGCTAGACAAAGAAGGTTGGATGGCTGAGTTAGAAAGAGTTTTGTGAAAAAAAACGTAGGAAACATCATAGTTAGATTATCTGGTTGTTCATGAAAAGCAACATAGTGTATTAAGAGAGGTTTCTTGTACTCCACATTCATAAGAGGTCAGGGCTGGAGAGATTTCTAACACAATTTTCTCATGCTTTGAAGAAGCCTTGACTCTAAGCAGAGGCTGGTAAGATTGTTATTATATTACAAAGTCTAGAGTGAATCATGTTCCTTAGCATTTAAAGTTGAATACAACATGAAGGAAATGTACAGGTCAAAACCAAGCTAAATGGTAGCCTTTTAAAGAGGGCATTGACTTATTCTCCAGGGCACCAGATGGCAAGACAAGAAGTAATGGGTGGAAATTTGTCAGAGATCCAACCTAAAAGTAAGGAGAAATTTTCTGACAGTGAGAGCAATTAAGCAACGGAATTGCTTGCCTCCTGAGGTTGTGGGTGCTCCATTACTGGACATTTTCAAAAATACACTGGACAACCATTTGACTGGGATGGGAGAAGGCTCCTGCCCTGAACAGGGGGTTGGACTAGAACAGGGGCGTCAAACTCGATTTCATTGAGGGCTGCATCAGAGTTGTGTTTGACCCCGGTGGGGGGGCAGGGTGGGTGTGGCCGGAGTGGGCATGGCCAGCTTGACGTCACTTGTGTTGGTGGCCCAAGCACTCTGTCAGCAAAAACAGGCTCCCGAGCTCCATTTCAGGCTGCGACGGCCTCCTGCAACTCTCTGCCAGCGAAAATGGAGCTCAGAAGGGCTGCACATGGCCCTCCCGAGCTCTGTTTTCGCTGGCAGAGGCACTGTGGGCCAATCCTTTGCAGTTTCGAGGGGGGGTCCATGGGCCAGATCTAAGCATCCCATGGGCCAGATCCAGTCCTTGGGCCTTGAGTTTGACACCTCTAGATTAGAAGACGTCTGAGGTCACTTCCAGCCCCATGATTGTATGAAATTTGATCCAATTTGCTTTCATGATAAACTAGGCTTTTTAAAGGTCTGTTTGGCAGAAATATATCATATATAGCAGTGGTCCCCAACCTTTTTATCGCCGCGGCCCGCTGAGCGCGCGCAGGGGTGGGGGCACGGCCCAGGAGCTTTTGCGCACGGCCCATTGCGCATGGCCCAGGAGCCTTTGCGCTGCAGCGTTCATGTCCCCCGGCCGCTGCGCGGCCCGGTGCCAGGTACTCCACGGCCCGGCACCGGTCCGCGGACCGGGGGTTGGGGACCACTGATATATAGGAGGTATGGGCTGCTGCTTACCTAACTATCTCATTCTGTTTCTTAAAAGTTATATTTTAGGCCCTTTCCATACTGCTGAATTAACAGTTATCCCTTCTTTTTGAACTGGCAAAACAATGATACCAGAATAAAATAGGCTGTCCTCATTGCCAATACGTACTGTCCTTTTGGTCCCCCTCACAGATGAATGATGCTTCCAGATTATACCCATATAGAGCAGGTACTCTATTCAGCAAGCTAACTGGACAGTTCCTCTGTATTTGCTACACTCCATCTTCAACATGTCATCAATTGGAGAGAAACCCCCCCTCCCCAACCACAACATTGCAACAGGAATGAAGTGGGTTTGGATGCAGAAGTCTGCCAACTCTAGATTCTTTAACATGCCTCCCATACATTTTCTCATTATCCAAGATAAGCAAAGATAAAAAAATAAAAGAATGTGGAGCCATGAGGAGAGGTGAGTCAGAAGTAGCATTTATTTAGGATTTTGTCTCCTCTTCCCTTCCCTTCCTTTCCCTTCCCTTCCTATAGAACTATTGGAATTCATTGTTGGAAAGTATTTCTATGCAACAACTTCAGCACTATTCAGCCAGAAAATGGCAGTATTTACAAGTTTGGATCTATGGTATATACTCTATGTTTTTTTGTTCTGAGTAGAATTTCCTGTTTCCTGTTACAGTTAAACAGTTGAGCAGTAAAGCATATCGTGACTGTACTCTTTTGTTTGACCTGTGTGGTGCTTTATATAAACAAAAAAACAAATGCCAGCTTCCAAATTTTTACATGTGCTATTCAAGAGGCAGGGAAAGAATTGATCCAGTCAATCTACTCTTACTCTAGTCCAGCCTTGCACTGAAATAAAACACAGTGCTGCTAGAGGAGTGGTTTAATACCATTGTGCAGTTTTGATAGAGCACTGGACAGGATTGCTATATTCAGTTCTCTAGTGAGATCACAGTAGAATACAGCAGACAAGGCTAACCTGGGGTTGAAAAGGCAAGACACCCCTTTCTGATCCCAACTGCTACTAGTCACCCAGCAATTTCATGTGGTCATATAAGAGAAGAGCCATTTGCACAAAGGACTCCATACAGTACTAGCTTTCCCATGAAACATCGGACTTACAAAAGTCCTGCTTCACGAGATCATTTAAACTACTAAAGGGTGTTGGAAGAAATGTCCATTTGGGTTCAGTTCCAAGCGGGGAGAAAGACACTGGAAACATGGAGACTGCTTGAAAAGATGGTTTAATGGTGGACAGGACCACAAGGTTTTGAGATCCTGGGCAAAAAGACACGTGGGTGAGAGAGAGAGAGAGAGAGATTTATACCCTCTGTTGGGCTTTGAATTTGAGCTTCTATTCTGATTGGTTATCAGACTCCCATGGGGCCATGCAGGGGTAACTTTGTAGGTTGTCTTTTGAGTCCCAGGCTTGGTTGACTCTTGCTGAGTGGCTGGGTGATGATGTAATGAAAGGGCTTTGGGCAATTCCTACTATGGCTCTGCCTGAAGGAGGTAGTTCTTTGTTATGTAGAATAGACTGGCCCAGGCTTTACTGGCCCATTGACAAAGGAGGGGGTGTGTGAGTTTCTGCCTCCCTTTTAGGGGATATATTCTGCCCTTTTAATATTTCCTCAAATATCTCATTTCCCTAGGAGAGGGGTGGGTGATAACTTCCTACAAGGGTATTGATACTTGGTTCAAGCAAGTGAAGCCAAGTTGTATCAATACCACACCCTTTGGAGTTAAATAATTTTGTGAAGTGGAACTTCTGTAGGTCTGGTGTTTCATGTGAAGGCTATCCCTGTATGGAGTCCTTTGTGCAACTAGTTCTTCTCTTGAAAGCTTAACTGGACTAGAGATCTCCTGGATTTTTATGCACCAGATCGTGGAGTTGAGTAAGCACTATATATTAATATGGTAACCATATTTTCATCCCTGTGGACTGTAAGGTTGAAATGTTACTATTATATGTATTTTTCCATGAGGTTTCCAAGATAGGGAGATTTGATTGGCTTGTAGTTCAATTTTAGGTATATCAGTCTATGAAATAAAAAAGATCTAGTATCTTGGTAGGACTGAGGGTAGGAGACCAGGACTAGTTCATATGAACTTTTGTTGTTAGTTGCGAAGTCGTGTCCGACCCATCGTGACCCCATGGACAACATTCCTCCAGGCCTTCCTGTCCTCTACCATCCTCTGGAGTCCATTTAAGCTCACGCCTATCACATGAACTAGGGATGCAAAATTGAATTCAGCCAGAATTGAAATGCTGCCCACTCTGATCAGAAACAGTCATAGTTCCAGCCTCCAAAGCTTCTCCTTTCCAACTTACGTCAGAAAGTGCTATGCAGTTTTCCACTGAGAATATGTAGCTATATCTGGACAATTTTTTTGTCAAGGGACGCGACTCTAGCCTCAATCAAATGAACAAGAACAACTTGAAAGGCTGTAACAGATAAAACATTTTCTATACAGGCACCCTTTGTTTGTGTATTAAGATTCTATTGGAAATTCAAATATTTTAAAATAGCCGCCCTGCTCTACCAAATACAATGAGATCTAGATTAAATTCAGTGTTAAGCCTTCCAAAAAGTGTGCTTCCTTTCTCTTTTTTATGTTTATAAAGAAGACGGTTTATTAGCATATGTGTTTTAAAAGCCAAAATGGAATAGACGACTGTAAAATAAATGAATTCAGCATAAAGTACGCAGAATCTCTTTAGCAGTATGTAATAATGGAGAAAGGACAAAGCTTGGCACTTGGTTTGAGATCTTTGATCTAAGATGAGTACATTATTAATAAATAAGAGTTCCTGTTTTCCTCTGTGAAATGTTGGCTGGCATGGTTTCAAGTGTCATAAAAGAAAACCTAGTTTATATGCAGATGAACACTAGGACAAATGGTTTCCATGGAAGTAAAAGAGATAACGCCAAATGCTAAAGATTAATGCTAAAGATTAAATACGGTTGAGGTTAGAGAGGTGAAGGATTTGATTTAAATAAACTAACACAATAATTATAGAATATGCAGATCAAAACTTCTTATTCTATAGTTTGTATCCTTTCCAAATCTTGCAGTATGGACCTGTTGAAAATTGCATTAAAATGTATAAATTAAGAAAATGTGTGAACAAATATGCACAAATTGGCGAAATGTGTATACAGAAAAAAAGACAGATGATATCATTTTGTGTTCTAAATGCATGGGTTAAAGAAATGGGTATGTGTGAATGCATGGCTAGATTTAACAAATGTAGACAGGAACAAAAAATTGATGAGAATGAAACAATACTTCATATACAAGAAATTGTCATGGACCAGATGTAGATTGATTGATCCATCTCTAGGAAGAGCATCAAGGATACTGAAATATCATTCTAACCACACAGTATAAAAGGGTTTAACACTTCTACACAAGAATGTTTAATCATTTCTTAACATCCGTTTGATTAACAAAAAAAGTAATAGACTATAATTTGACAAGTTTTTTTCCTTAATTATTTACAGTTCAAGATGTGACTGATGAACTCTGTTTTCAAAACAACTTGTTATGTCAAATCAAAGTAATTATGTATGGTTTTACAGTGTTATAGTTCTATACAAAGACTGTAATACAAATATGAAAATATAAGTGCTTTTACATGTATACTTTTAATACTGTTTCTATGTTGTTGACATCAGCTTTATCTTACTATATATAAATAATGTGCATGGGGAAATTGATGAATAATATAGTTAACAGAAATAAGAAGCAATTTTAATTCAATAGACTTATTTTATCTTTACACATCAGATGTGAGAATTCAGTAATCCTTGGAAGCTTTGATAGGTGTATAATTAGTAAGACTGATTTAAAACAGCCTTGAGACTGACCCACATTGCGTTTTGTCCACACAGTGAAGTGTTAAAATGTTCTTCAGACTGCTACAAATGCTCCATACCACAAACACATGTGGAGACAAAATGGCAGCCTACATGATGGTTTACTCATGAATCACCAAACAGGTTAGACCAGGGCTGTCAAACTCGTGGCCTGCGGGCCAGATGCGTCATACGCTGGCCACGCCCACACCCGGTTTAGTGAAGAGGGAAAAAGTCGCGATAAGTCACATGGTGATGCTGTGATGACACGAGTTTGATACCCCTGGGTTAGACAGTTTTGTCAGGTATGAGTCATTTTGATCATGACAGTTTTGTCATGATCATAATGACTCATATCAATATAGGAAAGGTTAAGATCTGAAACACATCACTGGTACTTTTCTTCTTCGGGATAAAAGGTCTCTAAACCATGGACTGGTTTTAAAAAAAAGAATCTTCTTATCTGAGAACTAGATAAGTCATTGCCATTTGTAGAAGCAGCATTGGCATATCTTCAGAGGTTGACATGTTAAGAACTGATAACAGAGAGCACTAGCACTTAGACTTATATATTACTTCACAGTGCTTTTACAGCCCTCTCTAAGCAGTTTACAGAGTCAGCATATTGCCCCCAACAATCTGGGTCCTCATTTTACTCAATCTGGGTCCTCAGCATGGAAAGCGGAGTCAACCTTGAGCCAGTGAGGACTGAACTCCTGGCAATCAGCAGAATTAGCTTGCAGTACCGCACTCTCACCACTGCGCCATCGTGGCTCAAGGTTGCCTTGAAAGCAAGATTAAAGCAATATAAAATATGCATAAAATTGAAACCATCGGGCAATATTGGTGTCATATTAAACATTTTTCCTCCGTTGTGAGGCGCAAATTTAAAATCACAGAAATTTCCAAATTGTAACCAGGAACCAGAAAAGGAATGGACAATGCATTAAGTTTGATCAATGCAGCTAAGCATAATCATGCACATAGAGTGAGCATATTTTAAAAAGCGTGAACGAGGAACCAGTAAGCTGTAATTTTTACAGCACTGGGATAACACTGATAATATGGCAGTCATATATTTGAAGCCGGCTTCTGCTTGCACCAAGAATACGTATTGAGAGAGGTATCACATCACTAGCAAAAACTTCACCATTGCTTGCATTTTGGTTCTAAAATATATTTTTATACTTTACACTGCACAATATTCCCTTTATTCCATTATGAATGAAATGCTTGCTTCTTAAATAATATTAATTGGGTTGTTTACTTTATTTATTTATTTATTTATTTATTTATTGGTTCGATCTATATGCCGCCCTTCTCCGGAGACTCAGGGCGGCTTACAATGCATTAAGCAATAGCCTTCATACTTTTGTATATACCTGCTTAGTAGGGCTTTCGCCCCCCCCAAGCAGTGTTCTTTTTTTATACAAAGTCAGCTTATTGCCCCCACAATCCGGGTCCTCATTTTACCTACCTCGAAAAGATGGAAGGCTGAGTCAACCTTGAGCCTGGTGAGATTTGAACTTGTAGTAATTGCAGGCAGCTACTGTTACTTAACAGTACTTTAGTCCGCTGCGCCACGAAGGCTCAATTTAGGAATTGCTGAAGACCTGTCATTTATCTCCCCCCCCCTTTTGTTTATATTGAGCTCTTGTATGCAATATCTAAAGGTTAGCTGTGCATAAATTAAAAAAAAAAGGTCAATTGCAGATATAAGGTCAAGCTGAAAAGAGATCCGGATAAGCTAGCCTGGAAAATTTGTGTATTATAATCAGAAGATATCTGGACAAGAGCAGATTGAAGATTATAGCAGGTGAGTGCAGGTAGTCCTCGACTTACAACAGTTCATTCAGTGACCATTCAAAGTTACAGCGGCACTGAAAAAAGTGACTTATGACCATTTTTCACACTTAGGACCAGTGCAGCATCCCCATGGTCACATGATCAAAATTCAGATACTTGGCAATTGGCTCATATTTATGACAGTTGCAGTGTCTCAGGGTCATGTGATCAGCCGTTGCAACCTTCTGGTGAGCAAAGTCAATGGGAACCTTGATAGTACAGTGGTTTAGTGCACCCTGTTATTAACACAGCTGCCTGCAATTTCTGCTGGTTCGAATCTCTCCAAGGCTCAAGGTTGACTCAGCCTTCCATCCTTTCTAAGGTAGATGAAATGAGGACCCAGTTTGTGGGGGCAATAAGCTGACTTTGTATAAAATATACAAAAGAATGAAGGCTATTGCTTAACGCATTGTAAGCCGCCTTGAGTCTCCGGAGAAGGGCGGCATATAAATCAAATTAAAAAAAATAAAATGGGGAAGCCAGATTCACTTAACAACTGGGTTACTAACTTTATAACTGCAATGATTCATTTAACAACTGTGGCAAGAAAGGTTGTGCAATGGGCAAAACTCACTTGAGATATGTTTCACTTTGCAGCATACATGTTGGATTCAATTGTGGTTGTAACTCAAGGACTACCTGCATAGCAAAGAAGCAGGCTGAAGAATGGATCTTCTTTTTCCCACATCAGTCTAGTATGTCCTACCATACACATCGTGGACTGCAATACCATATAAACATGACTCATGTTTTATTGGCCATTCCTCCCCTGATGCATAAGCTTATTTATTTATTTATTTATTTATTTATTTATTTATTTATTTATTTATTTATTTATCTATTATATTTCTATACCGCCTTTCTCCCATAGGACTCAAGGCGGTGTACAGCCAAGAAAAATATAGACACACAAACATCATAAAATTGCTAATTAAAATTATTACTTAGTTTGGCCAATTAAATAAAACCCAGAATTAGATAACATTTAAAAAAAAATTATTTGTGAAGTTTATACTAGAAAATTTTCTATAATGGGCTTCATATCCCTGTGGGAAAAATTTCAAATAATTCAACTCTTCCAAGACTTGATTTGCTCAGTAGGAATAAAGTTTTCCTTTATAGTACATCTAACAGATTTTCTGTAGTTAGGAAATGGGGTTTTCTTAAATTGTCTCATGTTGTGGCTAAGACAATGTCTTTTTAATTGCAAAATGATGTTGTTTTGTGGCACCTAACGGTTGCACGCCATCAAAATACACTGCAGGCAGCAGTCCTTATTTCCTTCGGAGTGCGACAGAAGCTCCTCCTGATTAAAATGTACTCTGACACGGTTAGATGTAGGGAATCCTGCCATCTCTTGAATAAGGCGCTCCGAGAGATGTAGCAACAGGAAACAGTTTGTGCTTTTCAATTTCTGGCCATAACCAGGTAGTGACCCCTTCGAGAATCACAGTTTATAAATGCAGACAGTAGTAAACCAAATGAGCTAGCACAGCTTTCTGTGCTTTTCATGCCATTTGTTCTCTACTGGTATGCTTCTGGCTCAGAAACTGGATGCATTTGAAAGCCAGTTAAATTCTCAGTTCTCGTGTTCATCTACCAAAGGACAATAAAGACTCTTTTAAACGCTATTGGCCAGAGAGACATTATTTTACAATATAGAGGCAACAGGATCATGAGGACCACATCTCATTATAAGATGCTGACTGTTTGAAAGGGGTCCCTGTGTTCCTGGAGATCCATCAATGACTTCAAGAAGGAAAAAATGTTGCCGTGATGACAATGAAATATAAACCCATTGTTAGCCTTGATAGTGGAGGGATAGTAGTGAAATGTTCTTTATAATATTGTGATAAGCCCATCCTCATCTATTTGCATGAGCTACTGCCAAACAATTATGAAATGTGTTGCGATGTGATACATTTACATATTTGTGAAATATGTGATACATATTTCATTCTTTTGGCATCATCACATTTAGAACAGGCACCTGTGATGGTTTGTCACCCACATTCAATGAATATTCATAATAGCTACTGGTAGTTATCTCATGGTCCATTTTAATCAACACTATTGTCCAATAGTGAATAGCCTAAACCAGGGGTGTCCAACCTTGGCAGCTTTAAGACCTGTGGACTTCAATTCCCTAAGTTCCTCAGCCAGCTGGCTGGAGAATTTTGGGAGTTGAAGTCCACAAGTCTTAAAGTTGTCAAAGTTGGACACCCCTGGCCTAAACTATATTTATGTATCAGTAGTTCTTAATGTTGACCTTTGATTTGAGAAGGTCGAGATACAAGTTCAGATTCCCCCAATCAGCTTGATAATAGTTGTGTAACCCACACATCTGGGAGGGACAGAGAGACTCTTCAAACTCAATCATAAAGAAGAATCATTTACAAGAAGAGAAACTGAAATGAGCCAAGAACTTGGCAAGTGGAATATGTGCCAAACAAGCAATAAAGAGCATTGCTGGAGCTCTGATTAGAAAAATCACTTTGACATGGCAGAGTTGCTAAGAACCCATCAAGTTGCTCCTTCTATTCTCATGATGATTCGCAATAACATCAGAAAGGAATAAACTTTTATAATTTGCGACTTTTCATGAATATATTTTATGAACAAAGAAAAAAAGAGAGCCAAATTAGCTATTAAATTTGGAAAAATGTGGGTTGTGTGTATAATTCACATCAAAATTCAACCTTAATTTCATATGTATTGGCATTTTTTCAGATCTGCTTTGGTTTTCGCTGAGGGATACAGAAATTTTTTACTTTCTTTGAAATCCATATGCAAATAAACTACTGGTAGCTAAATAAGATTGAAAATAGAACTATTTTATGTCAGATATGCAATTTAGTTGATGAATATTTTCATCTGGTTTACTAAAATATTAAAATGAAACACATACTCCAAAATTCAATTAAAAGATAACTTGTAATGGCAGTCTAAATGGAAATTTGATATAATTCCCTTCTAGTAACTATAACAGAATACTCGGGATTTGCTTCAGAATAAAAATGCACTTGTCTGACCTCCTTGGATAATTCAAACTATGATTCCAAAATATTTTTTTGACTTAGTCCAAAAAATAATTATGAATTCTTAGAATTAATTTGTCTTCAGTTCTGAAGACATAGAACTGAATATGTCTTCAGAACTGAATATGTTATCATATTTTAAGCTCAGATTTTCTTGTCTTGAGATAATGACAGAAACATTATTTTTAGATTTAAGAAATGGTCAGTTTTAAAACTCAGACAGAAAACTATACTTTGTAATGTACATCTTAGAAATCGTTCATTTTTTAATATGTCTACTTAGAAGCAGGTCCCACTGAATTCATCTCAGCTTATTTTTATGAGAAGTTATATTGCTAATGAACAGTGGTACCAACCCAACTCAAAGTTGCACTTAAAAGCCTAATTTCAATGGGTTGATATTGAGAATAAGACTTTTTCAATTCAATAGGATGAATATCTGCAAAGATATGTATAGGACTGTGGTCTAGATTTTGTTATTGGTTGTGACCAGTGCAGATGGTTACAACCACACTTTTACCAACAGAAGTTAGATTAACTGCTAAGAGTCAAACTTCAAGTGACCTTAAATATGTTTTGGCACATAATATACTTCTTTAAAAAGGCAAATAATAGAAGAGAGATAATTGCAGCACATGGAAAAGGAAATTGAATTCATTCTTTGCAGAGGGTGCTCTTTTAGTAAAAACGTACTACTCTTTTACTAGTACATATGCACACGCATTATACTGAACAAGAAATAAGAGAAAAATGGTGCTAGGAGAGGAAAATTGAAAGAAACAATTAAAGAATTGCCTGAAACTGTGTTTGTGTGTCCCTATCTTCACTATATGGGGCATCTTGCCCAAGATCAGCTTAACACTGGCAGCAACATTGTAAATGCATTCACATATTTTCTACCATATGTTCCTAGGGTCGTGGCAATCCGGCTATTCCAATTTTGTAGCTGTACAAAACATTTTACGACAAGAAAATCAGAAATATAATAGCTTCACAACTTCAAAGAGCTTTCCACTCCTAAAAGTGTAAAGACTTTGAAGTTATGAAGCTATTACAAGCTATTACTTTCAACAATACTACTAAAAGTGTTATTGAAAGTGGTAATTGTTGAAAATTGCCATCAAGGATACATATAAATACCGTACACACAGAGAGACAGACACTCCTCTGAAAAAGTTTTCTTTCCTTTCTAGTTATGATAATTTTTCCCCACTTTAAAGGCTTTTTAAAAAAAGTACAGCTTGTCAACCTTGTTAAACTAAAGCAAAGAATTCTTGCCATATCAAATTATGCCTTACCATCAATTGAGAATAATTAAGGGTGACTTATAATTAACCTGGAATAGCTCCTATTCCAGTCACAGCTTAAGAAATGAAAAAGAGATATTTAAATAAAGCTGGAGGTATGTACTGTATGCACGTACATGTAAATATATATTTAAATATATATATATATATATTTAAAAGGCTCCATAACCATCATTACGAGTAGCTACCGCAAAGGCTGGATAAGCTTCATAAGCTGTGTAGGTTGCCAAATCTTGTCCTAGATTCACTGCTTGCTTAAGCTGGGTAGCTGCGACAGTGGCAGCTGTGTTAGCAATATATCCTGGAGAAAAATTCAGAAAGAAAACTTTTTTTACCAGAACGGTAGAGATCGACACAATCCTTTATGCATAATTTTAGTCTACAATTATATTCACACCAAAACATTGTTTTCGAAGCATGCTTTTAAAACCCGGTGCATGGATGTGGCCATTCTTGGCTAATCAGTAAGGAAATAAATCATTACAGCATCAGACTGAGATGTAAAAATTCAGATGCCCACTAGTTGGCAGCAAAGATCTTTTTCCGCCTATCTAGTGGTCATCTGGATTTTTCCACCCTAGTTGGTCAGTCCTACCTACAACTCCTACTTTATAGCAATCTGCAATATTGACTAGTGTTTGCTGACTAGTGATATTTATCTGCAGGGATACATACAGTAATGTTATGCCTTTTCTTCAACAGGTCCCAGCACTTTTACTCAGCAATGCCAATATAATCCAATGCTATATGTGTACAGATAGCCCTCGCTTACTGACTGCCTCATGTAGCGACTGAAATGGCATAGAGCAGGGGTGTCAAACTCAAGGCCCGCGGGCTGGATCTGGCTTGTGGGGTGCTTACATCTGGCCCGCAGGGCTGCCCTGGAAACAGCAAAGGACCAGCCTGCGGTGCCTCTGCAGTGAAAACGGAGCTCGGGAGAGCCGCGTGCAGCCCTCGCAAGCTCCATTTTCACTGGCAGAGGGTTGCTGGAGGTCGTTGCAGCCTAAAACGGAGATTGGGAGTTCATTTTTGCTGGCAGAGCCCTTGGGCCCCCACAGGTACCCCCAACATGAATGGCATCAAGCTGGCCATTCCCCCCCAATGCCCCTGAGATCAAATATAGCTCTGATGCAGCCGTCAATGAAATCAGAGTTTGACACCCCTGGCATAGGGGTTCCTGCCAGAACAGGGGATTGGACTAGAAGACCTTCCAACTCTATTTTTCTGCTATTCTGTTACATGCCTTTCCCTTCTACAAATATATTTTATTTTGCCTAGATTCTCTCCTATTCAAGGGCAGCTGGAGAGAGTGAGGTAGTTCATAATGATGCATTTGATATCAGCATTGATGAACCTAACCGATACCGTTTTTATTGGACTATTAGGTTCACCTGAATTGAAAGGATAAAATGTTTCAGAGCTGTTTCCAACTAAATGAACAATGACAGTGGAAGGTCATTGTAATTAAGCAGTAAATGGTGCTGAGTTCAATAAAACATCAGTGTATCTTACATAATGCGGAAGCTCGAACAAGCCTAGACAAATTGATTTTTCTTTGTGGCAGGAAACAGGATGGATTTTAAATTTTTTAAAAAGCCCTGATGCTTCTGAATGATTCCTTGCAGGTATTAATCAAAAGGACTGACTGGTATGTATACTGTGTTTCCAGTAATGTAAAAAAAAAAAAAAAAAAAGAGAGAGAGAGAGAGTAATTTAACGTGAAAGATATACTGTATATAAGTAAAATCCAGAAAGTTTTGGTTCTCATTAACTGCATGTATATATTAAATAGTATAAATAGGTACAAAATAAATAAGTATAATAAATTTAGCAATTGGCTCCCTATATTACCTTGTATTCTTTATCATAGTCAGCATAACTGCAAGATAACTTTAACCCTACAGTAATTTTCTATGGATGCGTCTTCTCCATCAAAGCATTCCAGGTTTTTAGATGGTAACATAAAGGACCAGATCCCAACATCTGGAACATCTGGGAGGGTTTAAAAAGTCACGATGGCAGCCTTGACTGTGTGATGAAAGCTGTCATCTTGGCTTTTCACCTTCCCTGCCTCCCCATACCACTGCTCAATAACTTTCTGAGGATTACAGGCAGTCTTCAATTTACAACAGTTCATTTAGTGACCGAAGTTACAATGGCACTGGAAAAAAAAGTGACTGATGACCATTTTTCACACTTATGACTTTTGCAGTATTCCCGTGATCATGCAATCAAAATTCAGATGCTTGGCAACGGACTCAAGACTTACGACAATTGCAGTGTCCTGATTTACACCCCCCCCCAAAAAAACCAAAAAAACCCAACAACAACAAAAAACCCCGCTCCACATCCACACATTGTAGGTGTTATTGCCACTGGTTGCCAAAATTTAAAGAAAAAAAAATGTGTGTGTGATAGCAAAAAGGCCATTTACTAGAATAACCCAAAAGTGTTAATTCAAACTCTGAATTTCAGAGAAGTTGTCGTCAAGACTTATTTTGATTACGTGCAGTTACTTCTATTTGTAGTTGAGTACGTAGCAGTCCGGCTAAGCTGTTAATTGGCAAAAGAAACAGTGATTTTTAAAAACGGAACTATCGTAATGAGGAGCAGCTAAATACTTGCAAAGGTGCAAGAATTCAATGTGACTGTGATTTTGCTACCTTTAAATACGTATTCTGACTGCAAACTTGTACCCATTCTTCTAAAAGCAAATTCCTTAGAATCTTCTTATGAATAGACAATTTATAGGATCATATTTAGTTACCCCGAGGGGAAAATGTTTGGATTGTTACATTTCACAAAAAGAAACTTTAGCATCCATTCTTTTCCTCATGCCCCAACATGCTGTAATATTCAGGAGTCACCAGAGTTGCAGATGATTTTATGCAGACGCTTCTTTGCTAAACTTTGTTAGTTTAATTTAAGTTAGTCCAATGCAAAATACAACCATCACATACCAGGAAATGGTACATTGGTGGCAGAGTTTTCTGCTCCTTCAGTGGGAATCCCCAATGCCTGAAGAGTATGTTCTGCTGCATATGTTTTGGCTTCATCTACATATGCACTTAGCTTTGGTGGTGTGAAGGGATGCCTGTAAAATAATTGAATATAATCCTATATCAATCAATTGTACCAGCAAAAGAAGTGATACAGATACCAGCTTGTAAATTATTTCACCATGAAATGTAAATGTAATCTTATATATTTTTATGTACACTTTCGGAATGTCACTAAGGAAAGGAAGATTCTTTTTCCTGAAATGTATTGGATTTTAGTCAACATTGGCACATCTGGTAAGTGTTTCTCTTCTCAGTGTTTGCTGCTTTCAAAGCCTTTTTGTTGTGGCTTTTTGTTAATCCTTAATTTAACCAGGGAAAAGAGTTAGTGGGAATGGGATAGTATGTCAAAGCTTATTTTTCACCCTCTGTGGCTTCTGCATCTGCTTTTAGAGTTCGTTGTATGGTGTTTTAATCATAAATGTAGCATTTAGTGGGATTAGGAATTGCACTGAACAATAAAATTAGATACAAAATAAGATCATGTACCAGAATCCCAACAATGATGAGAAAAATTCCCCGTTTAGGTAGGAGTCTTAAACTAAGCCATTATTTCTACATATAGTAAATAGCTTTGGAGAATCCATATGCCTCAGTTTATCAGGCTACAAGGCACAGATACCAAACCATGCAGAATTAGTTTAGCATTGTAGGATTCTTGGCACACTGAGAAGCCATTTGGCTGTGTAGGTTTTAGATTTTATGGTGAACATATGGAGCTCCAAATATCAGTGAAATGTAAGGTCCAAAATCCTTCATCTTTGGCCATGTTGGTTGGGCTATTAAAAGGCACATCCTCTCTGGTTTATGTTTAAATGTCATTTATATTCTTGTTCAGTCTTCCAAGACTATATGTATGTATGTACACACACACACAACATTGTAGATACATGTATGTGCATCGATGTACCAAAATTCATTTTTATTTATTTTGAAACCTAAATGTCAAAAATATTTGGGTTTTTTTTTCCATGGAATTTCAATTTAAAGGCTGCTGCAGCTGCTCTCCCACATCCTTCTAATTCTTCTGCAATTTCATATTATCCAGGTATTGTAATGGCTTACTTACAAAGCCCTTCAACCCTAATTAAGCCCCATGACTATATTAGCTACTTACATTGTAGGATTTTGAGTGACAAGGGCAGGTATAGTGATTTTATATAAGAAGAGTTGTCTTTGGTTTTGTCCAGCAGCAGAATAAAGTTGGTAAACAGGTTGTCCCCAGTTATTCTTCTGGCAAATTTCTTCTAATATCTATAATGATAAAATGAATCTAATGATATTTCCATGCATGTATATTCATCACTTATGGAGTATGCAAATCACAGAAATAGTGAGCAATAGACATTCGAGGCATGAGATAATGGTAAAGGTAAAGATTTCCCTTGGCCAGTTGTGTCGGACTCATCTCCATTTCTTAGCTGAGGGAGCCAGCATTGGCCAAGGACCTTGCCATGTCCATGTGGCCAGCATGACTATATGCTGAGGCACACTGAAGAGGTACCTATTTATCTACTCACATTTGCTGCTTTCAAACAGCTAGGTGGGCAGGAGCTGGGGCAAATAACTGGAGCTCACTGATGCTCAGGTTTTGAACTGGACTGTCAGCTTTTCAGCTGACAAGGTCAGCATCTTTAACCACTATGCTCCCTGTATATAAAATTATGGAAAAGTCTACTTGACACTATACTCTCCCACACTTTTCTATTTGTGCAACCTATTCTTCTTCCATGTCATCCATACATTGATTCATACATTGCTTTCCAGGTCTAATCAATTCTGATTCCTTCATATATTTGCTTGGAAATTCAAGCTTCAACCATTTTCTGGTCCAAACTATTTCAACCTGCTTCTCTTGTATTGATTATTCTCTTCTGTGTTCCATGTACTTTCATTTAAGATTTCATTTGGGATCTCATTTTGTTTTATCACTATGTTTGCTAAGACCCTATGCCCATCACATTTCTCTGGATACACCCAAGATTCACTTCCATAATTCCATTACAAAGGGGCTAGAAGCATGCTTTTATTCCGAGCTGTATAAGCATTCCTTCCACATAGAAGCCTACATACTGTTTGCAGTCTATCAACCTTCTTTGAAATTTCTCCATCTATTTTCTCATCTTTAATCAATATTCTGTCAAGATACACAACTTTGCCTATTTTATTTAATATAGCATATTTATGTAGCTGCCCATCTCTAAAACCAATAAAAACATTTTAAAAATACAATTAAAAGACATCACTTGCTTTAAAGACACTTGCTTAATTTTAAGAGCTAGACTGGTGCTGTTAAGACTGGACTAGGACCAGTTCCAATGTTTCCATAGGCATGGAAACGAACCGGATGACCTGGGCCAGTCACTCTGTTTCAACATTAAACTGGGAAATCAGAAAGCATCTTGGAAAAAGGCAATGTAGTAGCATTGTTGAAATCTTGTCAAGAAAACAGCACGGACTGTTCCATAAATTCACTTGCACTCAAAATCAACTCAATGAACAAAATGAAACAAAAACCTTATAAACATTTGCTCCATATTCTCTGCCAAGCACAAATACCTTGACTTTTGGTAAAGAGTTTTCAGATCTGTGCAAACTATCTTTTCCTGCAAGTTATTTGGGTTCTCAGCTTTGTGTGTGGCATTGTGTGTACAGAAAATGGTGTGTTTTCACAGATGACTTCCTATAATCCCACAGTATGTCCAGCATAATCTCACTGTGCGACCAGTTCATGAAGGGAGTTGTGAAAAAATATTATTACTGTAGGAATGCTGTTTTATGTCAAAACTGCATGTAATAAAATCAAATAGAATCAACAACAACAACAATAAAAATGCCCAGTCTGCAAAGATTTCTTATAGAAATGGGGTAGGCAGCAATCAAGAACTGAAATGTTTCCTTTAGATCTGTTTTACCCACCTGTGGAGCAAGTTTAATTCCTTGTGGCTTTAAACTGACGTGGTTCATCGGCGTAAGCTCCATTCCAGGCAAAAGATCATAGAGTTTGTCCTCCCCTCTTTTTTCTCCTTTAAGCTGGTATCCGCGACCCAGGGCAGGGTTAGCCAAGTAGCCTCGACCTCCTACTCCTCTAATTCCAGCAGCCCCTACAGGTACATTCATGTAAATTTCTAGGAATGTAAGAAGGCATTGAACTGAATCAAATCACAGGAAAATCTTCCTGATTCTTACAGTATGGGAAGGCTTGATTGCACACGCAGGCTTAATGTCGAGTTTTGATGTGATAATGAAAAGTCACCTTTTAGCAATAGCAATAACACTTAGACTTATATACCGCTTTGTAGCGCTTTTACAGCCCTCTCTAAGCGGTTTACATAAGCGAGTCAGTATATTGCCCCCCAACAATCTGGCCCCTCATTTTACAGACCGGGGAAGGATGGAAGGCTGAGTCAACCTTGAGCCTGCTGAGATTCTATCTGCCAAATTGCAGTCAGCCGGCAGTCAGCAGAAGTAGCCTGCAGTACTGCACTCTAACCACTGTGCCACCGTGGCTCATTTACTGAGTTTCAAAGAGGCAAGGGGAAGAACCAAGTATCTGCAACATTAGGTAGCAGGTCTATAAACTATTTAGACCAGTGTCTATGGAGATTCTCAGTCATCCAGGTCATGGTTGTCCCAAAGGTGCTTTTTCAAGAGGCAACTTGACTTTCTAGTTTTTCTTTGAAGATGTTTTGTTTCTCATCCAAGAAGCTTCTTCACCTCTTTAGACCAGTTTAGACCAGTGTTTATTTAGATCAGGGTTTCTCAACCTTGTCAACTTTAACATGTATGGACTTCAAGTCCCAGAATTCTGCAAGGGAATTATGGGAGTTGAAATCCATCCATCGTAAAGGTGACACAATTGAGATACAATCTAATGCATATTTCAAGAGAGCAAAATTCTGCAGAACCCAGCAGAGTTTTAGTTACAAGCCAATAGGTATTACATTAGTTTCTTCATCTACTATAACACTGAGAGTTTCAGCTCCTGACATTAACATTTCTTTAGCTATGTTAATAGAATATACTCCATTGAGAAGTAGCAGTACACAAAGAACAAACTCTGTTTATTGCCTGTGAAATGAAGAGTGTTAATTCACAGCAACGTGCACAGCTACCAATAGGATTTTATTGTGAACTGGGAGGTATCCTGTGGGCTTCTAATTATTTTTAGTATTTGCAAGTTCACCTCACAGATGTTGGGTTTGCTAGGTTTCTATTTAAACATGTTTCACACTAAAAAAAAAAAAAGACACTGAACCTGGGAATTGCAATCCTCTGCAAGGATCAATCACAATATTATTTTATACATTGTACATTTTCTGCACTGCATTCTAATTATGTCATTATTCATGTAACACAGGCCTTCCCATTTTCCATTTCATTAAATGCCTGAAGACTCAGTGATATCTTGGACTAATTCTAAATCACTTTCTTATCTCTTTTTTTCCCCTCTGCAATTATTATTTTCAATTCTAATTCAATTCTAGAAGCCAATTCTAAGAGGATTATCATTTATAGGTAAAGAGCAGGGGCTTCAAAGCCACAACTGCTATAGAGATTGGAATTTATTTCTTTTAGAGTTTTAAGGTTAAGCTTTTCAGTTTTAAGGTATAATTTTGACACGATAATTTTACCAACCTTATCCCAACCACACATCGGAATTAATTCATTTCTGTAAACATTTTAGGATGGTTCACACATCCATGTATATCACTTTTGATATTTCCTTGCTGAATTTATAAGTCTACAGAAAGAGACGTGTCTGCTGAAAAACTACCAAATTTCAATGCTCCACTACAGGCATAGTTGGTTTCACATTATGCCACTTTTTAGTTTCTTAACATTTCCATCAAAGGCAAATCAGTAGAGCTCTAGTTCAACACGGAACAGTCTGCTCTATCAAATGACCCAAATCTAAGGAAGAGCTCTGGTGGGGCAGTGATTAAAATGCAGTATTGCAGGCAAACTCTGCCCACAACCTGGAGTTCAATCCTGATGCAGCTCAAGGTTGATTCAATCTTCCATTCTTCTGAGATCAGTAAAATGAGGACCGTGAGTGCTGGGGGCAATATGCAAATAATGCTTCAACATCATTTCCAGAGAGTGCTGGAAAGGGCCTAAATGCTATCGCTCAATACAGTTGCTGCTTGCTTGTAGACCGGATTTTCATTCAATATCCCTGTAAGCAACATAACTTACACTCTGAATGTTGACTGAAATAAGCTTTTTAAATTAAATTTCAATCACACATTTTAGCCTTCTCTCTGTAATTTGTGCCTTTGTGCCAGGGGTGAAATCCAGCAGGTTCAGACAGGTTCTGGAGAACTGATAGCGGAAATTTTGAGCAGTTTGGAGAACCGGTAGTGAAATTTTAGGAAGTTCGGAGAAATACCACCTCAGGCTGGCCCCAGAGTGGGGTGGGAATGGAGATTTTACAATATCCTTCCCCCAGGAGTGGGAGGGAATGGGGATTTTGCAGTATCCTTTCTCTGCCACGCCCACCAAGCCACACCACACCAACCAAGCCACACCCACAGAACCAGTAGTAAAAAAATTTGGATTTCACCACTGCTTTGTGCCTTCCAAATATAGTGAACTACAACCCTTTACAACATCCACTTGACATTGGCATATTGACTGAAAATTTGGAAGCTGTACTCTAATATAGTTTAAATATACCAGATTGGAGAAAGGTCATAATCACATCATGTAAGATTCTTTTGGCCATATATTTCATTCACATACAAGTCCATTAGTCAGGATAATTTTATTTTGAAGAGCAATGCAGGTTTCATTAAAGATCTTTAATTAAAATGGGTTAGAGAACATGGCTATGTATTAAAGTAACCCATTCCATATCAGAAGAGACTTGTCCAAATGAAAAATAATAAAGGACAGTCCAACCAAGTAAGAACATTGAAATATTCCGCATTGCTCAATAGAATTACCTCTAATGGTTGAAGGTCTAATAATGCCTCTGTTGGTGAGATGGCCTTTAGCAGCAGGGAAATGAAGGCCAGGAATGGTAGCATAGGCTTGTGGTGCATAGAAAACTGGAGCTCCTAGGTAAGCTGTGGCAGGATCATAGACATGGCCAAAGGTGTAAGTAAATTCTGGCAATGCTGCTCCTCGACCTCCTGTGCCTCTGGTGTATCTAACATAACTGTCTTTGTCAACCGGCTTTGCTAAGGTGACTTCAATGGGAGAGCCATCCACCACCTTGAAAATGGAAGAGAACACAAGGAAGATATATGATATATCATATTCTTCTTCATCATCATCATCACTGCACACCAGAACAACTAGACACAAGAACAGTTTCTTCCTGAATGCCATCACTCTGCTGAACCAATATTTCCCTCAACACTGTCAAACTAGTTACTAAGTCTGCATCACTATTAATCTTCTCATTGTTCCTATCACCCATCTCCTCCCGCTTATGACTGTATGACTGTAACCTTGTTGCTGGTATCCTTAAGATTTATATTGACTGTTTCCTAATATGATTTGATTACTTATTTGTTCCCTATGACTATCAAGTGTTGTACCTTATGATTCTTGACAAATGTATCTTTTCTTTTTATGTACACTGAGAGCGTATGCACCAAGACAAATTCCTTGTGTGTCCAAGCACACTTGGCCAATAAAGAATTCTATTCTGTTCTGTTCTGTTCTCATCATCATCATCATCATCATCATCATCATCATTCTAGCCATTGTCTATCCACTGCAGGGTGAAGGCCTCTTCTGTATGTTTCCAACCAATACGGTCTTGAGCTATATCTCATCCTATATATGAGATATAGGATGAGAAAAATAAATAATTTATAAAATACTAGATACTAACTAACCCATATATGCACACCTATACCAATGTGTCATGAGAACTAAAGAAATGGCTCTTTTGGCTCATGGCTTATTTGCAATTATAGTTTCTGAAAACCTTTCCTTGTCAGTCCTCGATTTATGACCTCAATTGAGCCCAAAATTTCTGTTGCTAAGTGAGACATTTGGTAAGTGAGTTTTGCCCCATTTCTTGCCACCACTGTTAAATGAATCACTGCAGTTGTTAAGTTAGTCACACGATTGTTAAGTGAATCTGGCTTTCCCCATTGACTTTGCTTGTCAGAAGGTCGCAAAAGGGGATTACATGACAACGGGACACAGCAACCGTCATAAATGTGAGTCAATTGCCAAGTGTCTGAATTTTGATCACATGACCATGGGGACGCTGCAATAGTTAAGTGTGAAAATGGTCCTAAGTCACTTTTTTGTGCCACTGTAACTTCAAATAGTCACTAAACAAATTGTTATAAATCAAGGACTACTGGCATTGTATATCTGGATTTACTGGCATACAGCCTTGGTATCCCTGTATGAAAATTGTCTACATAAGTGGGGCAAGACTTGCAGAGATGTTTGAAGACTAGCAGGACAGGTGCATCAAAACACACAGACACACACACAGAGCCCACTTGGTATTTTTGAAAGCAAATTGCGCACTGTTAAAACTGACCAGTTCAGACTGGTATTTTGCTAGCTGAACATTTATGGGATTATAAATAATGCAGTTGCTTTTGGTCGACTCTGATGATTTATCAGGCAGCTCAAAATCCAAAAACAATGAACCACATATTTCATAGTAGAATAAACTGCTGGAGTGCAAAATGAAGCAATTCCCTTCAAACTCTCTGCCAAGCCTTTTATAGGGCGCATTATTTGATACGTACATACCCCCCACCCTACCCCAATAGCAGCAATACAGGTACTAGAACCAACATTATAAATCATATTATGCAACATGCATGCAACTCTCTGTCTGCCTTCCAGCAACTGCAGAACTAATCCATCATTACCTTCCCATTTAAGATTTTCATGGCTTCCACCGCATCTTCTCGATTATTAAAGTGCACAAACGCATAGTCTCTAATTTTCTTCACCCGTTCCACTGAACCTGCGGAAGAGATTTGGAGGATAAACCTCGTGTGCATATTTGTACAATAAAAGGCATAGCCTTATGCTCAGCTTTTAAGTTTAGATCTCACACTTTAATTTTAAATTATGGTTTTTGTGCTGCATTAAATCCTGGCAGTATAAACCACGATTTTGAGGTATTGTAATATTTTCCCCCTTTGGTATATTTAGGAGATGCTACCTCCAGAAAGGAATTTCCTTCTGTGCGTCCTGTTCTGCAAAGCATGAAGCAGCATGCCATCATGTGAATCCTGTTACAGGTAGTCCTTGACTTACAACCATTCCTTTAGTGACCATTGGAAGTTACAACGGCACTGAAAAAAGTGACATGACCATTTTTCACACGACCATTGCAGCATCCCCATTGTCACATAATCAAAATTTGGACGCTTGGCAACTGACTCATAGTTATGATGGTTGCAATGTCCTGGGGTCATATGATCACCTTTTGCAACCTTCTGACTAGCAAAGTCAAGGGGGAAGACAGATTCATTTAACAAATGTGTTGCTAGCTTAACTGCAGGGAGCCACTTAACAACTGTGGCAGGAAAGGTCATAAAATGGGGCCACATTCACTTAACAACTGTTTTGGTTAGCAGCGGAAACTTTGGGCTGAATTGTGGTCACAACTCAAGGACTACCTGGACATATAAATTATGTAAGCAATTTCTGTACATGTCACGGATGGGTAACCTTTTTTTCTTGTGGAATTCCTACTTCTTGTTTTCGTTAAGGAAAAATAGCTCACGGAGTTGTGACATAACTGTAGTAAACTGATTGCAAATCTTTGACCTCTTTTTTCATTTTTTTTAAAAAAAAGTTTTGGTGTTTGTTTAAAAATGAAAATGTCCAATAGGGATTGTTTTCCCTTGTAAACATCTCTGTCCAAATGCATAAATAATGCCTTTTTAGGAGAACTGAGGCTGCTCAATGGTTTTTCTAATGCCTTAATCCTTTGCAAGTTTTAAATGGCTTGTAGCATCTCCGAAACAAATTCCCTAGTCAAAAATGTTCAGCCTAGTCCATTTTTGAAGTTTGGATTCTACGGATGCCCATCGAGACAAGCTCTGGCTGCCTTCATTGGCTTCACTGATTCATAGTGATCTGAGACTTAAAGAAAGCCAGAATTTAATTAAAAAAAAAATTGCATTCTAACTGATATACATTTAAACAGTATACCCACATTGTAGAATAAAAGGAGAAGAAACATAACATGAGGTCTAGAAGCTTTGCAGAAGAGTACTGAGAAGTGACTTCAATGGATGCCTCAATGATGTGATCTTGATACTAGCCCAAAATTAAATATTGTCTGGATTAGATTAGGGGATTGGAGGCTAAAACATATGAAGAACAGTTGCTGGAATTGAGTATGTCTAGTTTAATGAAAAGAAGGACTAGGCGTGATATGATAGCAGTGTTCCAATATCCAGTAGGCCTGTTTTTCGTCCTCCCCAGGCTCCAGAGGCTTTCTAGGAACCTGGGGAGGGCGAAAACAGCCTTCCCTACCCCCTTGGAGGCCCTCCAGAGGCCAGAAACAGCCCGTTTCCTGATTTCTGGTGAGCCCAGAAGGTCCGAAAATTAGCTGGCTGGCCCGCACATGCACGCTGGAGCTGAGCTAGGGCAATGTTCACATGCCCATAGATATGGCTCCGCATGCCATCTATGGCATGCATGCCATAGGTTTGCCATTACGGGTATAGGGTTTCTTGCCTGAGCAGGGGGTTGAGCTAGAAGACCTCTAAGGTTCCTTCCATTTCTGTTATTCTATGGTAGAGTTAGCAAGTCATATAAATAAAAAAATTACACTGAATAATTGTACATGCATCTTTGGGAAAACAAAAGATAAAACCAAAATCTTTTGAGAGAAGCTATACATTTTAAGCCCAACACATAGCTTTTTAAACTAAAGCCTCTCTGTATTTCTGCTTAGGCTCTGGGACTGTAATGTTGCCAGAGAATTTGTATTCTGAATTTGCTGCAGCAAACAGCTGTGCTCAGTTTTAATGACCAAGTACAACGGTTGGCCACTGATCAATATTTTATTAAATGGTTTAATGAGATTATTTTGGAGACTATCATCTTTTAAAATGCCAGTTGAAGTACTGGTCTTATCCCTCCAGAAAAAATATAGTTTTTAATCCATGCACCAATTAGATTAATTTGACTGTTAGTATGTCTATTTAATATATTTAAAAGGTTGGTTTAATGAGGCTTATGAAAATAGGGAAATGAGTTACCCCTCCCACAAGCACACATAATAATATATTTAAAAAACAGTAGGAAAAGGGTTCAAAAGCAAATAGATCTCTGGTTATACCAGAGGTGTCAAACTCAATTTCATTGAGGGCCGCATCAGGGTTGTGTTTGACCTCAGAGGGGGGGGCATGACTGGCAGGGGGGGGCCTGGCCAGCTCAACGTCACTTGCGTCGGGGGCATCTGTGGTGGCCCAAACGCTCTGCCAACAAAAATAGGCTCCCAAGCTCTGTTTTTGGCTGCAACGGCTTCCTGCAACCCTCTGCCAGCAAAAATGGAGCTTGGGAAGACTGCTCGTGGCCCTCCTGAGCTCTGTTTTCGCTGGCAGAGGCACCGCAGACCGGTCTTTTGCTGTTTCCAGGGCAGCCCCATGGGCCAGATCTAAGCACCTTGTGGGCCGGATCCGGCCCGCGGGCCTTGAGTTTGATACCCCTGGATTACACTATTCACTTACTCTTATTGGTGGAAGGGAAATGCTGCCGTTCCAGATGTAGATTGCTGGTAGGCAATGAAATGGAAGCAGGGCCTTTCTAGTGGTGACACCTGTTTTATAGAATGACCTGCCTTCAGGATGATTCAGCAATGGTGTGTTTTATTAGATTTTCCATCCAGGACCTCTTCTAACATTTGCCTTTTCAATGGACTAATTCTAACTTGAAAACTCCTTTTACAGCATTGTTGGTTATTTTTGTGGTTTTAAATTAAATAAATGAATGCACCAAAACAAAATAAAAAATGACAAGGGATGACAATCTCTTTTCTCCCAAGGATGCATTAGGGAACAATGCTAAAGCCTAATGCAGGTAGTCTCAACTTACAACAATTTGTTTAGTGACCGTTCGAAGTTACAACGGCACTAAAACAAGTGGCTTATGACCGTTTTTCAGACTTACAACCTTTGCAGCATCCTCATGGTCACGTGATCAAAATTCAAAGACTTGGCAATTGACTCATATTTATGACCGTTGCAGTGTCTCAGAGTCATGTGATCCCCCCTTTGTGACCTTCTAACAAGCAAAGTCAAGGGGGAAGACAGATTCACTTCACAACCATGTTACTAACTTAACAACTGCAGTGATTCATTTAACAACTGTGGCAAGAAAGGTTGTGCAATGGGCAAAACTCACTTGAGAAATGTCTCGCTTAGCGATATAAATTTTGGGCTCAAGGTTGATCATAAGTTGAGGAATACCTGTGCAGCTCATTGCTACCAGGCTATGTTGTACCTATTGGGATTGTCATTCACGCCATATTAGGAGCCCATAAACTGTTGTATTCCATTTGGAAATTTTCTCATCACTTTTGGGGTAATTTTTATTTCCAGAAAACATCTACAGTATCTTTCTGAGTATAAGACGCACCATTTTCCCCCCAAAATGAGGGTGAAAATCTGGGTGCGTCTTATACTCCGAATGTCGCCCCGCCAGGCTTCTCAAACGGAGGTTTCAGAGGCTGAAAAAAGCTTCAGAAAAGAAGCTTCAGAAAAGAAGCCCCCAAACAAAGCTTCAGAGGCTTTTTTTCTGAAGCTCTGTTTCAGAGGCTTTCAGAGGCAGGAAAGAAAGTTTTTTCTGAAACAGAGTTTCAGAAGTTTCAGAGGCAGAAAAAAAAAGCAAAAAAAAGTAAGCCACAGAGCTCACAACCAAGGAACCTATTGCTAAAATTCACCTCTGGGAACAGCTGATTGGGGGTATTCCAGGAGGCTGATCCACCTGCCAATCAGCTTTTTTCTTATTTTCCTCCCCAAAAACTAAGGTGCATCTTATACTCCGGAAAATACGGTAATAAAGGTGGAAGGAAGGATATGGCAGCTTTCTGATAATACTAGGAGCCCTTTATTTGAGAGAAACTTGACTAGTAGCAAAGCTTTATTGATTTCTTAGGTGGTTTGGAAATGTCAGAGCTTTCCTGGCAAGTGATGGACAGGAGAGGTTAGAACTTGATGCAATCCATATATTGATGGCAATGAAGTTTAAATCTCCATCTGAGAATGTTTTGGCCATTCCTGTAGATGTTAAACAGCATGGTAGGCATAGATCTGAACTTTATATAACAATGGTCAAAGGGATGAGCAAAAATCACCCAATATAACTACCTTATAATTGCTGGCTTATTCTGTTGCTTTTTCTTTTCACCTTTTGAGTAACAACCAATCTGCAGGCAATTTACACTTACCAGCTAAAATGGGCACTTTTCTCATATCGCCCTCGTTTGTCTACTTTTATTCAAAAGGACTCTGGCCATTCATTAAGAAGTGCTTGGAAAGTATTGGCATCAGAAAAAGAAACTTAAAAGTTTCAAATACTGTTGAAAATTTGTGGATATTCTTCAAATGTGTGAATATAAGGAAATTCCTTACTTACTTGATGTTTTTGAATTCACAACATTATATGGCTGTGTGGACAAAACTCTTTCGTACTTCTAAACTGTGAGAGTGAATGCAGGCCTCAGAATTAAGTTGCTATATAGACAGAAGTTATGGGGAACCAGGTTGAAATTTAAATGCAGATACATTGAACATAAATAACAGAGTTGAAAGATAACTTGGAGGTAATCTAATGCAACCCCCAGCTCAAGTAGGAGACCGTATACCAGGGGGTGGGTTCTAAATTATTTTACTACCGTTTCTGTGGGCGTGGCTTATTTTGTGGGTGTGGCTTGGAGGTCATGTGACTAGGTGGGCGTGGCTAACTGGTCAGAGTCATTCCTGGAAGGTCCTTGCACTTACGACCAGTCCTCGCACTTACAACCCGACTCATTTGTTTGCTTTTAACACTGATCAGCTGTAGGACGGCCCTTTGAAGCCCCGCGGCAAGAGTTTAAACAGTTTTTTTCCCTCTAGTCATCAGCTGGGACTCAGGAGGCAGCAATAGATTGGGAGTGGGACCAAATAAAAGGTAAGAGTAACGTGGGTGGGGGGGTGGGAGGGCGGGGGGGGGGAAGAACCGGTTCGGTGACATCATATCGTCACTGTTACTGGCTCGGCCAAACCGGACCGAACCGGGAGGAACCCACTACTGCCGTATATCATTTTAGACAAATTGTTGTCCAGTCTATTCTTAAATCCTCCAGTTAGGGGGCACCCACAACTTCTGAAGGCAAGCTTCTTGATTCACTTGATTCTTGATTCTTGAATCATTGCTTGATTGTTTTCGCTTTTAGGAAATTTTTCCTAAATTCTAGGTTGCTTTTCTCCTTAATCAGTTTTCTGCCTTTTGGTGCTTTGGAAAACAGTCTCATCTTTGTGGCAGCCCCTCAAATATTGGAACAATGCTATCTTGTCTCCCCTAGTTCTTTTCACTAGAGTAGATACACCCAATTTCTGCAATTATTCTTCATAAGTTTTAGCTTCCAGCCCCCTAATAATCTTTCTTGCTCTTCTCTGCACTCTTTCCAGAGTTTCAACTTTTTTATATATATCATGGTGAGCAGAACTATTCAGTATTCCATGCATGGTCTTACTAAGGCTTTGTAAAGCAGTACTAATACTTCACATCATCTTGATTCTATCCCTCTATCAATGCAGCCTAGGATTGCATTGGCTTTTCTGGCTGCTGCTGCACACTATTGGCTTCTATTTAAGTCCAAGTAGATAAAAAATGCTAAAAGAAAGACATATTTCCAACGAAGCCTAAATATGTGCATATATTGTGCAATGTGCAGTATTGAGTACACTATGGTTCACTCTTGTAAACTTTGGCTCTGTGGGGTGCACATGCTTCTGGATGCAATTCAAGATGTGCATTTTCAGATGTGACGCTCAGAGTCAGGTTATCTGCGGGACCAATTATCTCAGATAGTGTCTATCTATCTACATGTGGCATCCCCAGGTCCCCTTGGTGAAACAGTGTTACCTGCTGAGTCCCAATAAGCATCTGGCATTGCCCTCCAGAAATATGGAGGCTTCAGTCCTGTTGGTTTTTGGGAAGACCAGGAAACCCTGCATCTTCCCTCAGGTTTTGATGCCAGATTGTTCATTATGGGCGTTCTGGTTTGTATGCAGGCACATTGTATGTCAGGGGTGTCAAACTTGATTTCATTGAGGGCTGTATCAGAGTTGTGTTTGATCTCGGGGGGGCAGGTGCGTGTGGCCAGGGTGGGCATGGCCAGCTCGACATCACTCCTGTTGGGGGCGCCTGTGGTGGCCCGAGCACTCTGCCAGCGAAAACAGGCTCCTGAGCTCCATTTTCACTAGCAAAGGGTTGCAAGAGGCTGTGGCAGATGAAAATGGAGCTCCATTTTCTCTGGCAGAAGCACCGTGGGCCAGTCCTTTGCTGTTTCCAGGGCGGCCCCGTGAGCCAGATCTAAGTGCTTTGTGGACCGGATCCAGCCCCTGGCCTTGAGTTTGACACCCCTGTTCTATGTGATCTGAGATTTTGTGAGGTGAGTGGGGGGAAGGCTTGACTTATTTATTTGGGTTTCTTTTGAGGGGTTTTATGACTGTTTTTATTTTGTTCACTATCCAGGATTTCACTGGATATATGAAAAAAAGATTCACAAATAAAGCACTTGTTTTTCTGAAAGTGTATCTGCCCACACAAATTCTCTAGCATAAGGAGATTTCCAAATTGTTTGAAGTGGCATGCTTCTAGCTATGCTATAGTTCAATCAGTGTGGAGCACAACTCAACTTCATACTGTGACTTATCACTGCACTTTTGTTGGGAGAGCAAATGTTCCACAGCATGACTTGGACCATAATTTTAAGGATTTGGAAAATTTACAAAAATGCTTATTGATTGACAGCTTGATTATCTCAGGGGTGTAATGCTGCTGGTCGCTATGGTTCGGGCAAACTGGTAGTGATAAAAACTACCAGTTCAGGCAAACTGATAGTAAAAAAATGCTTTAAAAAGAAAAAAAAAGGTTCCGAGGATCATGCAGCACAACTGATTGTCAATCAGCTATGCTGCCCAATCATCAGAACAATTTTTTTAAAGCATTTTTTTTACTACCGGTTGTCAATCAGCTGTGCTGCCCAATCGTCGGAACCTTTTTTTTTCTGGTTAATGAACCAGTGAAATTATGGTTTGCTAGCCTTAAAAAAACAGATTTATTTAAGAATTCTGGAATGCACCACTTAAAAATTAATTTTGATGTTTATTTGAGCAAACATTAGTGCAGTTTTACATCAATTTTAAAGAATTAACTACATTCTGAGCCTGTCTTAATCCAGATGTGTTGGACTACCTATTAGCTACAGTCAGCATGTTCAACTAAAGGTGTAATTTATTTCAACACAAATACTGTTTCTGGACAATAAAGTAGTTCTTTCTTATTTTTAGTTTTTTGACATTCGTACAAATTAAAAATATTTCAATTGGAATTAGTGTTTTTCTAGATAAATAGTGGATTACTTTATTAAACTTTCTAGCTTACTAAAATATTGACCAAGCTAGTTTTCTTTTTTACCTGGCTTAATGTTGTTGAATTCTTTTTCAATTGTTTCTTCAGCAGTAGTTAACATAAGATTTCTCACGTAGAGGATTTTAACGGATGACATTGTATCTTCATCAACCTCAACTTCTGGTTCTGCCCAATCTACAGCAATCGGATGTCCCCATAACTGTATCCGTCCTGCAATGTAATTGGAATGAAAATAAATATAAAAAGTTAAGTCATCTTTATGGAAGGAGGTAAGAAGGTTTTTGTTGAAGAGATGCATTGGTAAACTGAATTTATGCTATTGTAAAAGATACTGCTGAACAAGGAAAAAGCCGATTTTTTTAAAAAAATTGATTTATATGCCGCCCTTCTCCGGAGACTCAGGGTGGCTTACAATGTGCTCAGCAATAGCCTTCATCCTTTTGTATATTTATACAAAGTCAGCTTATTGCCCTCACAACTGGGTCCTCAATTTACCTACCTTAGAAAGGATGGAAGGCTGAGTCAACTTTGAGCCTTGGCGAGATTCGAACCTGCAGTAATTGCAGGCAGCTGGTCTTAATAACCAGTTTAATAACAGGGTGCCTTAGACCACTGTACTACCAAGGCTCGATTAGGATTTTTTAAAAAAACATTTACTATAGTTTATACTTTAACCATCAATCTGAATCTTCCTGGAGTCCACACTGGTAATCCTCGACTTACAATCATTTGTTTAGTGACCATTCAAAATAATAAGAGCCGTGGTAACGCCGTGGTTTGAATGCAGTATTGCAGGCTAATTTTGCCAAATGCCAGCAGTTTGATTCTCACTGGCTCTAGAGTGATTCAACCCCCCATCCTTCTGAGGTGGGTAAAGTGAGGACCCAGATTGTTGGGGGCAATATACTGACATAGTAAATTGCCCAGAGAGTGCTGTAAAGCAATATGGGACAGTATATAAGTCTAAATGCTATTGATAAGTGCTATAATGGCACTGAAAAAAGTGACTTATGACTATTTTTCATACTTACGACCATTGTAGCATCTCCATGGTCAATTGACCAAAATTTGGACTCTTGGAATGTATTTATGATGTCCTGAGATCATGTGATCGCTTTTTGCGACCTTCTGATAAGCAAAGTCAATGGGGAAGCCAGATTCACTTAACAACCATGTTACTAATTTAACAGCTGCAGTGATTCACTTAACAACTGTGGCAAGTTAGGTTGTAAAATGGAGCAAAACTCACTCAATGTCTCAATTACCAACAGAATTTTGGGCTCAATTGTGGTCTTAAGTCGAAAACTACCTGTAATATTTTTTGAAACAGTTTTGCTGATGTGACTTTTCACCTTGTGAAGCTTGGGAGCCAGATTCTGTTAGTGTGTTGCTATTTTAATTAGCTTCACATCTTACATTAAAGGAAAGTGTGATTTCCTTGGATCAGATTTAGCATCCAGTTCTTTCCCCTCACTTAGATACCAAAATTCAGTGGGAGAATGGGGGTGAATTTTGACAAGATGATTTATCAGAGTTAGGTGTTTTAAGGATTGGATGGGAAGAGTTAGTCTCAAAGAGGTTCCAAATCTGATTCTCACCCGCACCTCAGTAACAACAATCACATAAACAAACTGAAAAATTAATCCCTTTTCCAACTGGTGGTTCCTGGACATCCTGCTGGGGATCTCCAAAGTATCAGAAGACTGTTTGGAGTTCCTGACCTTCCAAATGCCTGCTCAAGTTTACTATATAGAACAGTGTCGTTCAACCTAGGCAACGTGAAAATGTGTGGACTTCAACTCCCAGATTCCCCAGTAGGGCTGGGGAATCCTGGGAGTTAAAATCCACACAACTTCAAGTTACAAAGATTGAGAAACACTGCTGTAGAGTAAACTCAATCTTTCTAGTTTCTTAACCATTTTAATAATGCTTGTCCTGTTTTAAGGGCCTATTCTGGTCAACTTCTCTGCTCTTCTTTTAAAACCCACACAGATTTACACACTTCCTCAGAGGCAGCCAAAGATGCAAAACAGCTAGCAGGCTGCCAGGCCACATTGAAAAGAGGGATGGAGGTTTTCCACTGTTCAAAGTGGGGGATTTTTTTTTTCCTGCCTCAGGTGGCAAAATAAGTTGGTCAGTGTATTGAGTTCTGCACACTGAGAAGGAAGATAAGGGAGTAAGGATAACTTTGTGACCTCTGGCTCATGTTTCTTGCATGAAACTTGACAAAAGCATTAGAAATGATATCAAGTGCTAATGTGCTGAGCTGGAGATCAATCTTTGGGTTTTTTATTTTTATTTTTAAAGTGAATATTGGTATTCAGGATAGGCTGCAGACCCTTTAGTAAAATCCATAAGTAGCAATTTTCTGCTTTTCTGTGACCCCTCCCTCCCAACTGCAGCTTGAGGTTGGTTTGGCTACACCAGTGTTGGCAACCTTAAACACTCAAAGAGCCACAAAGGTCCTAACTGAAGCTCCCCATTCAATTCTGGAGCTGACCTCCTAGTGTGGCGTCCTTTTTCTTCTGCCAACCAGAAGTCCGGTTCCCCCACCATAGAGTCTCCTCCTAACGCAGAGTCCTTTTTCCTTTACCCTTCCTAATCGAAAGCTCTATCAATTGTGGAGCTGACCGGCGACAGGGAGAAGAGGGATGCAAGAGCCACATGTGGCTCCAGAGCTGTGGGTTGCTGACTCCTGGGCTACATGTAAGGGAATTTTTTGGGCCCTACCTGGAAGCAGTTTTCGTCTTGCCATAGCTGCTGCTCGGTGGCTTCCATATTCCACAAATGCAAATCCCCGGTTTTTTGCTTTATCAGCTGCACTGGGGTACACAATGACATCAATCACACCTTCCGTCACTTTCCGCATCTCAGCTAAAATTTCTTCCCTCTTCTTGGCTTTTGGTATTCCTCCTACAAATAAGCGGCAGTTGTCCACACTGGCACAAACGCCGAGTAACCGACCATCCCTGTATGAAAAGAGAATTTCATTGAGGGAGTGAAACTCCTTGGAAAATCTTTATTTATTTTGTGTTGTTTTGTTTCCAGATCTTGGCTTCTATACCATCTGTTAAATTTTATGGCCTTTTAAGGCAAAATACCAATCCATTAAATAAAAATAAGCAAAGTCAGCTTACCGAATTTCATAATTGTTCAGTTGCTTGATTGCATTCTTTGCCTCTTGTTTGTTACAGAATGTTACAAAAGCATATCCTCGATTATTTCCACTGAAATCCATCATCATCCGCATCTCATAGATTTTACCAATCTGGAAAAGTCAAGCACAAAATTCCATAGGATTTTTTTTTTTTTTTAGAAAAGGAATTATTATCTGCATTACAGTTTATCGAGATCTGTTTTCCTCACAATTCTGACTGTATGCCTGTTTCATTTTAGGACAGGTTACCTTACAATAGACTTTATTTGAGATCTGTTTTCTGACTCACTATACAGTTGAAACAATCAATCAATCAATTAATCAAACCAACCAACCAACCAACCAACCCAAGAGGCATATGCTGAAGCTCCAGGAAGTTAGTAAAGACCTTTATTAATATATTCCAAAAATTATAGACTTGTTTCAGGAAACCTCTGTGTTTCTTAAACTTTTTTCCTCTCAAGACTCTTTCCCACTTTTAAAAATTACGAAGGGCCCCAAAAGAACTTTTCTTTGTGTGGGTTGTATTATTTGACATAAATTATATTAAAAATTAATATTAACACGTTTGCTGCTGCTACTACTTATCATGGTTGATAGGATTTTAATATGGTAGTATAGTATTTTTCTACGTAGGCTGGCAAATAATTTTGATTTTTGAGGACTCCTGAAAGTATGGGGGACCCCCCTTAAGAAACCTTAGAAACCCTGATTTAAGTTTAAGAAACACTGATTTAAATGTACCTTAAGAAAATCTGATTTAAATTGTCTTATCAACTTGAATGAATACGTTTCTTCTTGGGCTTTAATTTAAGTTGTAATAATAAATTAATAAAATCAATACTAAATTTTCATTGTGAATGTACTATAAAGTGTATGGTAAGTCATACTGTTACAGTGAATTATTTGCATTGAGAAAAATACTTCAAGACAAAAATAGCAGAAAAATAGCTCCCTAGTCAATGCAATACAAGCATGAGATTTTTTTGGTATTTAGACTTAAATTTAGGCTTAGATTTAAAATAACTTTATTGTTGCTTTGAATGTACACTAATTGGCATACATTAAAATGAAATTTCGTTCCATATGAATGTGGAAAAAGTTTCCACATTAACATCTAAAAGCTGAGGCTAGTCCATTTAAAGTTGGTTATGAATGAAATGACATATAAGCCCAAGAAAAATAAATAGATAGGTGACTGCTTTTGTATACTTAGATCCAGCGGTGAAATCCAATTTTTTTTACTACAGGTTCTGTGCGCGTGGCTTGGTGGGTGTGGCAGGGGAAGGATACTGCAAAATCTCCATTCCCTCCTCACTCCTGGGGGAAGAATATTGCAAAATCTCCATTCCCACCCCACTCTGGGGCCAGCCAGAGGTGGTATTTGCCTGTTCTCCAAACTACTCAAAATTTCCGCTACCGGTTCTCCAGAACCTGTCAGAACCTGCTGGATTTCACCCCTGCTTAGACCTCACTGAGACATTGAGCATACTCTGAAGAACAATTTTCTCAGAATTGCTATCTTCCAGATGTGTTTGATTTCAATTCCTGTATACCCCAGCCAGCAGTGGCCAATGGCCATGGTGGTTAAAGTTATTGGGGTGGAAATTCAATACAGACCAGTTACAACAACACGGAAAAAACTGACTTATGACTGCTTTTCACATTTATGACCGTTGCAGCATCCTTGTGGTCACATGATCAAAATTTGGACGCTTGGAAACTGGCACATATTTATGACGGTTGCAGTGTCCCAGGATCATTTGATCATTATACTTATCACAAAGGATCCAAAAATTATGGATTTTTAGTTCTTTCTGATACATTTCCTTAGTTGGATCTGCTTTGATAAGCACCATTTTAGTTAGACATTAATGGTTTCTAAATGAATGTGGATTAGTCAATGTAATACTTTAACCACTTCAAGAGTTTCTAAAGGCTTTGGGAATAATATAGGTAAGTTACAGAATAGTAGACATATTTGTCTAAGAACAACACTAAATCCTGTGTCATCTTGAAGATTGTTGTGTGTCCAGAACAATACTTAGAAATGATAGAGGCTGCCATAAAGATATTTGAGTAGCCCTTGTAAAATCACTTTTATAGATTACACATGGAGTTACAAAACAGGATGCTTACCTGGGAATTGCAAATTAGCTACCTCCGGTCAATATTTAAAAGTGGGTTATTTTTTGTGCAATTATTAAAAGTGAATGAGACAGAGCAGGTCTGTATGAACAATGGATTCATTGAAGGATAAGATTTACACGAGGCAACCCACTGCTCTGGAGAGCCCAACAAGGTTTTGACTATGACCTATGAGATGTTAGAAAATGTAACATCTGAGTTGCTGTGGTAGAGTCTCTGTCTAACATGCAGTGCTGTTCTAGGAAAAAATATATATATCCGAAGAAATGTGTTGCATCCACAAAAATACATTTTCTCCTGAGAAGTCCAGACACAGGCACCGCAGAGAAACGTTCATTTAACTTTACTTTTTTTTTTTTAAGGTACGAGTCCTGCCAATAACTTCATTCCTTGGAATATACACAAAAGAAAAGAAAACCTACTAAATTATATTATTACTTTTTCACATAATGGAATGAGTTCATCTTCAAAGAGATCTCGGGGAAGTTTTCCAATGAAAATCTCAGAGCCTCGTTCTGGTGGTGGCCCATTCCAATCAGGTGGCGGCCCTCCATATTTTCGTTGACCATTTTCCTTAATGAAAAAAAACAAAAAACAAAATTTGGAATTGTATTAATTTCAACATTGCTTATATATCCCTAGTCATATCATTGAATTGTCTTCCTGTAGTTATATCTTTTTCACTCAAACTTTATCCTCCTTTTATTTGCTCCTGGTCCTGTCTTGACTCCATTAGATTTGTTTTAGAACCTCTGTTTACCTCTCGAGTGATTAAGGAACTTACCTAGTCATGAGGAAAGAGCATTTAAAGATGGCTGGAATTGTGCAAGAATGAAGACGAACTGGGTTCATTTTGTATTTCATTGTCTGATTTAAATTGCAAATATATACTTTCTGAATCATTATGGTAAATTAAATGTGTGTCTCTCTGTGTGTATATTTGCCTTTCATAATGTTAGGCAGGGGTGGGATTCAAAAATTTTAGCATTCAAAATTAGGCAAATTTTCTCTGCCCGGTTGCTGGTGGGCGTGGCCATGGTGGGTGTGGCCTACTCAGTCTCCTGCACCATGGTGGTGGTGGGGACAATTTTGCCCTCCCCAAGCTCCAGAGGCTTTCCTCAAGGAGGGCAAAAATGGCGTCCCGTGGGCTCTGAAGGCCCTACGGAGGCTGGAAACAGGATTGTTTCTGGACTTCTGGAACTTGTGGGATGCCCATTTTTCACCCTTCCAGAGCCTCCGCACGGGCCCTGCACTTACCTGGCATCCAAAACAGGCCACGTGGAGACTCCTGGGAGGGGTGGGGTGGGCGGGGCTAGTCAGTCTTTGCAACTACCGGTTCAGTGAACCAGATGTAAAATTAGCATCTGGTCCGAATTGGCTGAATCCTACCCCTGATGTTAGGTTGCAATGCATTACTAGAGGAAGCTGCATAGAAATCTATGTATATTATGTAAAAAGCATTGTCTGAGGAAATATATTAGCCCATGCATACAGTATATTTAGGAGAAATTTGCATGAGAACATATTCCATTTTTCTGTGTGTGGAGTTCAAAGCCATAAACCTGCATGGAAGGCAAGAGAATGAGCAGCTGATTGGAAAAAAAATCTGAGACCAATCATCAATGACCTAGTTGTCCCTCTGCTGAATCCTAGATTCACATTGATATGTTGAATGCAGGGCTACCATGTGAATTGGCACTTCACAGAAACACCCCTGGCAGCAAGATTATCAGGATGGAAGTCACTGGCACTGGAAAACCCATGTAGCATTTGATCCTCATTATGAAACAAAAGATATTACTTAGGGGAGTACTTCTGGTAAAACCCATTGGAAGCGTAGTAGACATCTATCTCCTTGTTTTACTTTCAAATTAGCAGTTGTATTTATGTGACAGGGAAGTTCCTACCTGAATCAAACTATATCCTGTGCGCTGAATTAAAGTGCGTAGGGCAGCTTCTTTCTGTGAGCCGGTCAATCCATCCCCGGATTTTTTATTTGATTCCATTGTGTGTGATTACCACCAAAAAATCAGGTTAATTAGGAGTACTCACTGCAATCAAATTTAAGATAAATTAAGCAAATTAAAATAGTTTTGTAAAGGAAATTTCCATCACAGCAACGAGGGATGTCTTTATAGGAATCACTCAGAGTAATTAGAAAACAGAACTGGAAATCCAACACCTTCAGAAAAGACAGAGAATCAGGCTGAGGATATTCTTATTCCCTAAGATTTGTGAGGACTTTGAGAGAAGAAATTGTTCAGATGGTCCACTCCAAAATAATGTATAAAGCAGCAGCCTCCAACCTTTTGGGCATCAGGGACTAGTTCTGTGGAGAGAGGTTTTTCCGCAGACAAGAGGGGGCGTGGTTTTGCGTACTGCCTGCATCCTGTAGATGGGGCTTCACTTGTTTGCATGGCCTGGGCTCTGGCATCCCGCATCCCAGTGCTGGTCCACAGACCGGGAGTTGGGGACCCTTGGTATAAAGTTTTTGTATAAAGCAATGCCTGGCTTTAGCTTGCAGTATTTGAAATGTCCTGTATTCCTTTAAATCAGGGGTATCAAACTCAAGGCCCAGGGGCCAGATCTGGCCTGTGGGGTGCTTAGACATGGCCCATGGGGCTGCCCTGGAAACAGCAAAGGACCAGCCTGGGGTGCCTCTGCCAGTGAAAACAGAGCTCGGTTGGGATGTGGGCGGCCCTCCCGAATTCCATTTTCATGGCAATGGGTTGCAGGAGACCGTCTCAGGCAAAAATGGAGCTTGTGAGGGCTGCGGGCAATCCTCAGCTCAGTTTTTGCTGGCAGAGGGTTGCAGGAAGCTGTTGCAGCTGAAAACGGAGCTCGTGAGGGCTGCGAGAGATCCTCCTGAGCTCAGTTTTTGCTGGCAGAGGGTTGCGGGAAGCCGTCACAGCTGAAAACGGCGCTCAGGAGCCTGTTTTCGCTGGCAAAGTGCTTGGCCCACCACAGGCGCCCCCAACACAAGTGACGTCGAGCTGGCCATACACACCCTGGTCATGCCCCCCCTGGCACCCTAAGGTCAAATATAACCCTGATGTGGCCCTCAAGGAAATCGAGTTTGACATCCCTGCTTTAAATGATTTTCAAACATCTCTTGATGATAAGATAACATCTTTTAAATGTTTCTTACCAACTTCAATATTATGTCTCACTATATTTAACCTGACCCTTTTTATCCTTCAAGGTAGTCTAGACAAGAAGCACAAACCATGAATACTATCTTTATCGTAAAATTACAGTAACAGAATCTTGCAAGTGTGAAAGCACTTCTCCCCCTCCCTTTACTTCACTCTCCAAAAAACTAGGGAGAGTTTCTTCTGAGATGCTTCCCATGCCCCCTTTTCTTTTGTAGGTTGTGATATGGTTTGTGGGACAGCTTCTTCCCCTATCTCTCAAAGTCATTCTCTCAGACCATTATTGACCCCAGGCCTCTTTGTCTGTCGCTGGCCTGAATATTGACAAAGTAAATAGTATCATCATTATCATTATCCACCCTGATGGTAGAATGAAAAATTACAGTTATGAGATCTATCAAAATGTAGACCCTAGGACACTGATGGCTAACCTTTTTGCCCTTGAGTGCCAAAAGCGTGGGGAGCGTGGGGGGATCATGTGCATATGTGCCCACACCCATAATTCAATGCTCCCCCTGCACATGTGCATGTGACCCCCCCCGCGTAACTCCCATTTTTGACACGCGATGGCACAGTGGGACCTGAAGGCCCATTTTTCGCCCTCCCCAGGCTCCAGAGGCTTTCTTGGAGCCTGGGGAGGGTGAAAACGGCCTTCACCTGCCCCCGGAGACCCTCTGGAGGCCAGAAACAGCCTGTTTCCTGACTTTTTGTGGGCCCGGAAGGCCTGAAAATTAGCTGGCTGGCGTGCACAGCTGAGCTAGGGCAATGCTCGGGTGCCCATTGATATGGCTCTGCGTGCCGCCTGTGGCACACGTGCCATAGGTTCACCATCATGGCTCTAGGAGTTAAGCTTGATTTCAGAGATATTTCAAATGTATGGGAACTTCATTTCAAGTCATTTCACTTTGCTGTGCATGTAAACACGGTATTTTAAAAAGTACCTTAAATTATCTAACACATGTATGAAATACGCCTTGTTTGTTAAATATTTAGATAGTCGCTGATGAAAGGATTTCTATTCTAATACCCACGGAAGAACTGTCTGCACAAAAACCAAATATAAGTTTGCTAAGGAAGTCCAGATAAGATTCAGCCATCCAGTTCAGGTCATCTTCAGAAATTCAATGAATATATAAAATGGGAAGGGGATTGAATATTTTCCTTATATGCATTTTTCTTCAGTGTTCAGCAAGTGTCACATGAATTTACTTTTTTTATGAGTAACATTATTTGCCTCTGTGTAGGTTCTCCCATCCTTATTTTAAAGGTCTTTTAAAATAGGCCTTTTAAATGTTGCACCCCGAACGTACAAGAACCTCTCGGAGTAGAAGATGAAGTTAGATTGGCACTCTGATCACTACCAAACTGGAAGACTACATGGATTGACAGAAATATGGAAAGCAACAGAAGAAATACAGATTCTAATCGAATATGCCAGCAAATCTGGACAGTGACACATTAGCCAATAGGTTGGAAGTCTACTTACCAATACCAAAGGTAGTAGACTTAACAGAGTGTGAACACTATTGTCCAGTATCTTTAATGTCACATGCTAGCAAAAACTTGTTAGATCATCCAAAACAGGGTTAGAAACGTGGTTGGAAGGAGAAATGCCAATTCAAAAAGCCAAGGAACACAATGCATTATTGTTTTTTCTTGTGACAATCAACAGAAGTGAAAATTGGTCTTTGAAGAAACAGGCTAAAAAGAATATTGAAACTTTTGAAGTCTGATGCTGAAGAAGACTCCTGAGAATACCATGGACAGCCAAGAAAACAAACTAACAGATAAATTGAATAAATTAAGCCAGATGATGTACAAAGAATAAAATTATCATGGTTCAGACATATTATGTGATGACCTAGCTCTCAAGAGAAAGCAATAAAGCTGGGAATGATGAAAGAAAGAGAAGAAAAGAATAATCAGCATCAAGTTGCTGGACCCAAAAGAACAAACTGGGGCAGATCATTTTCAAGATGTTTCTGTGTGGTTGATAAGAGTTGATGTTGCCTTTATGGCTCATCATCATAGAATAGAATAGAATAGAATAGAATAGAATAGAATAGAATAGAATAGAATAGAATAGAATAGAATAGAATTCTTTATTGGCCAAGTGTGATTGGACACACAAGGAATTTGTCTTTGGTGCATACGCTCTCAGTGTACATAAGGAGAATAAAATACATTCATCATCAATCACCACCACCACCATCATCATCATCCAAATACTTATTTAGTACTTGAAAATGTTGATCTACTCCATGCCATGTTATAAAAATAGTTCTTAGCACAAAATTATTGGTCAAAAAATGCTCTTTAGCCAAAATCTTCAAGTAGTAAATATTTCATATCAGCCAAAGAGATGTTCCTAGCTCAAATCAAGAGATTTGATTTGTCTTTTTTGTACATAATATTCATTAAAAAGTTTAAACAAGAAGATAAAAGCTAAAACAAACTGATATAAAGTAAGAAAAAAAGAAAAAATCAAAGAAAAAACAAAAAGTGCAAAAAAGAAAAATTTGAAAAAAAAGTAGAAAGGAAAGAAAAAATATAACAGAAGTGGCTTCTGATATTCTTTGCAGCAATTATGAGTATAAATTATCTTTTAATTTCTCTCTCTCTCTCTCTCTCTCATTACAAAATATTTCTAATTATGAATAAGAGATTGATATTTGTCATAATAGCTGATAGTTTGAACTGTGTCAGATTTCCCATTCACATTTCCTTTTATTATTCTTCATTCCCATTTGATATGAAATATTTATAAATAGAAGGCAGTAAGCACCTGAAAGAAGTATTGAAAAATCCTAGTTATTCAACATGTATGCAAAGCCAGAAATTTAGAAATGATTTCTTATTGAAGATGACTTTCAGAACTCCGTCCAAGGATAAATTATCAAGCATACAGTATTGTATTATGAGTGGGAAGATCAAAGGATTCAGCTTGAAAGACACAGATGAATGGATTCAAAAGCATTCCTTTCTTAATATTCCCCATTCTTTATCTAATATTCTAATATTATCTAATACCCCGTATTCCTTAATAACCTTCTGCAGTATGGGGGTGGATTTTGAATGTTTAATGAACATTAAATAAAAGTTAATTGATATTTTCTGAATAATAATGAAAGAAATCGTCACGAATGGAGAAAAAAAAATCAAATCATTGTTGGATAAACCACTTCCGTTCTAATTCATACTTCTGATGCTGAAATCTCGTCCCTCAGGGAATTTCTCTACTGGAATATGTGCTTTGGGTTGTTCTGTGAGTCGTGTTTATGTGGTGCCTTTCTATTCGCTGATTGGTGTATTGATGATTGGTGTATTGATGATTGGTGAGTGGCTGTTGTTTCCTTGTGCTGCCAAGCCACCGGCTCCAAAGTATTTGATAAGCTGGTAGTAATTCAGCACTCCTGTTAACTGACAATCACTTGTCAGTTTCCTGGGCTTCCCTGGCTATCTTTGTGCTTGCAATACTGCAACGCTACTTCGTAGTGCTTTACAACCCTCTCTAAGCAGTTTACAGAGTCAGCATATTTCCCCCAACAATCGGGACCCTCATTTTACTGACCTCCGAAGGATGGAAAGCTGAGTCAACCTTGAGCCGGTGAGAATGTTGGCAGCTGGCAGAATTAGTCTGCAATACTGCATTCTAACCACTGCGCCACCATGGCTCTTGTTAGTATGGACTAAAATTTCTTTTTATTGAGGTCTTGACTTTTCAGTGATCAACAAGACAGATTCCTTCAAGATTCTTTCTCATATACTGTATCTTTTCCACAGAATTTTATTCATGCTTTATGAATAACAAAATAACAGAGTTGGAAGGGACCTTGGAAGCCTTCTAATCCAGGGGTCCCCAACCCCCGATCCATGGACTGGTCCATGGCATGCAAGAAACCAGTCCACACAAACAACTGAAGCTCCATCCATCATATGCAGGCAGCACACAAAATCATGCCCTCTCTGTGCATTCACACGATAGTAATTGCAACCCCACAGAGTCTAATATAGGCTTTATAGAATGCTGCCCAGTGCCCAGATAATTCTGCCAATAGCTTGTGCTGTCTCTTCCCTGTCATCAACCTGACAGTTGACTTTTCAGATATGATGTCACTTTTACCTGCTTTTGCAATGAAAGCTACAATTCTGAATGAAATGTTCATCCCTTCTCCAACCTTGGCCATAAAAGCTATTGTTTTCCAACTTAGCTCATATTCAGAAAGCAGGGGGGGATTTTGATTTATCGATTAGTACACTGGTTTGAAAATGCTGCAAAAGGGCATCGTGGCATTTTTCTAAGCATGGAATGTGTAGAAGTGTAAGCAGTGTAAGCAGTGAGTGGATTTCCAGCCTGATGAACCCCTCTTTTTAAATATTCACTGTTGTATTTACTTTTGAAAGTGTTTGTGAAAGAGCATAGTTTGCTTCACAGGTGCCTCACAATCGATAATTGCATTTCGCACCTGTTCACCATTGCATTCAGCCTCACCTGAGCACAGCGCCTGTCTGCCATTCATTAAAGGAACTCACCCAAACACTGATTTTTTAAAAGGGTTCTGGTCTAAAAGGATATTATGATGTCCATCATTTTCCTCTAAATTGTTAAGTGGAGGAAGAGGGAGAAGTGGATGACTGTCCTGATACTATCTGTCTCAAAATTCTCAAGTTATTTTTCTGAGGCCATCTTCATAACCATTTTTAATCTGTATGCCATTTTTATAACCACTGTCCACTAAAATATAAAACCTAGATTTTTATTCTTGCACAAATCCTTCTGCTTCGATTAATTTGAAGCAGTAGATGAGGTGCTTACAAATTTTATCTACTCATGCTCCAAGGTAGATTTCAATAACTCCTTTAAATGGGAGAAATGTTTAATCAAACAAAAAAATAGACCAGAACCACTGTGCTTATTCATTTCATCATTGGCAGAATTAATAATTGGCTAGCTGCACAAATTTCAAAAATAGCCACGTATCTACCGGTACTTCCACTTATTCCAAATTGAGGTACATGTTCACTAGAAAACTTACTCTCCCTAATCAAGGTGAATTCAGTTTCCAAATTGCTGACTTGGTTCCTGAACCAAATTATATAGTTGAGGCTCATGTTTGATAATGAGTAATCAATGAACTTTGCTTTCTGCTTCATAGTGGTCTTTTTGACCAGGTTTCTCTGCACCTCCTTCCCCCACAAAACTAAACAAGGCAGAGCTGAGAGAACTGGCAGAAAAATGGTAGGCTTTTCATCCTAGCAGAATCACGGTATGTGTGATTCTGCAGGAAGGAAATTCTCATTTCATAATTGTCTTTCAACTTGTCTTTCAAAACAAAGAACGGTTGCTGGAATAGGTATGTTTAGTCTGATGAAAAGAAGGACTCGGAGTGACATGATAGTGGTGTTCCAATATCTCAGGGGCTGCCACAAAGAAGAGGGAGTCAAGCTATTCTCCCAACCTGAGGGTAGAACAAGAAGCAATGGGTGGAAACTAATCAAGGAGAGAAGCAACCTAGAACTAAGGAGAAATTTCCTGACAGTTACAACAATTACCCAGTGGAACAACTTGCCTCCAGAAGGTGTGAATGCTCCAACAGAAGAGATTGGATAACTATTTGTCTGAAGGTTTCCTGCCTAAGCAGGGGGTTGGACTAGAAGACCTCCAATGTCCCTTCCAACTCTGTTTATTCTATTCTATTCTATTCTATTCTATTCTATTCTATTCTATTCTATTCTATTCTATTCTATTCTATTCTATTCTATTCCATTCCATTCCATTCCATTCCATTCCATTCCATTCTCTGAAATCACCTGCTCCATTTTGGCATTACTTCCACCAGCAGGGTTGGATTACAAGTAGTTTTTATTTAGGGACCATTTGCAGTTATGATGGTGACAAAGAAATAATGTTATAACTAATCCGCACATTGATTATCTTTGTGGGTCTGTAAAGCAAAGAAAAACTGAAGCAAGATTGTAAGTGCAGTCACAGTTTCACTGTTGCTGGTCTCAATTGTGGTTGCTAAAAAAGAACTACCTATATTCCTGAGCTCTAACTAGAAATTTCATTGTTCATATATGCAAACTAGGTCATGTTGTAAACTTCAATGAAGCAGATGAAATGTTTACAAAGATTCTCAGTCATCCAGGTCATGGTTGTCCCAGAAATGCTTTTTTGAAAGGCAACTGGATTTTTGTTTTTCTTGAAAACATTTAGCTTCTGATCCAAGACCAGATGACTGTAAGGCAGGCGTGTCAAACTCAAGGCTTATGGGCCAGATTCGGCCCATGGGGTGCTTAGATCTGGCCTGCAGTGCCATCCTGTAAATATCTAAGGACCAGCCTGTGGTGCCTCTGCTAGCGAAAACGGAGCCCGAGCGAGCTGCACGCTGCCTTCCCGAGCTCCATTTTCTCTGGCAGAGGGCTACAGGAGACCGTCATGGCCAAAAATGGAGCCTTGGAGAGTGATGTCGAGCTGGCCATGCCCACCCTGGGCACACCCATCCTGGCCATGTCCCCCCCAACCTGCAAGTCAAACACAACCTTGATGTGGCCCTCAATGAAATCGAATTTGACACCCCTGCTGTAAGGAATATAAATCCTTCCATCCTCCACCATTTAGTCAGAACTGAAGAAGTTTCTTGAATGAGAAGTGAAAGGAAAAACAAAGCCCAGTTGCCTTTTGAAAAAGCACCTTTGCAGTGGTGGGATTCAGCCAGTTCGCACCACTTGAGGAGAACCGGTTTTTAACTTTCTGAGCAGTTTGGTGAACTGGTTGTTGGAAGAAATCATTAGGGCAGAGAACCGGTTGTTAAATTATTTGAATCCCACCACTACACCTTTGGGACAAGCAGATGAGACCATCGTAGGCAAAATTATTAGTCCATACTATCAAGTATAATTTTGAGAACTTTTCTGAAAGTAGACAAAATGAAGATCTTCCCAATTCTACACATGGAAGGCTTACCTCTGTTGGAAGACATTTCTGCAAGGGCTTCTGAACATTGGAAGGAATCAAATGACAGTCCCACAAAACCTACAAATTTTTGGAGACAAACTAATATGCTGTAGGATTATATCCTTACTGTAAGATTGCAGAAGACTGTAGGGGAAAAAAGTATCTTTGCTTCTAATATAGTTAAATTATGGAGAGGGATCTCAGTTCACAATAAGTATTATCTGCTATCAGAATACTGCAAAAATCTTATTTCCTAATTCTATTATGGCATGGAACTATCAGTACCATTTCAAAAAGAAAATAACTATATTGGTCAGTTCAATCTGCATCTCATTTCCATTCCCAATCAAAAAGCAATTTCAAAATGTAGACTTTCAATAGTAAGTCTTTTGATCTAGACTTTTTAAATTTTCCTTTTAAATATAGTTTTGATGTAGACATAAACACTTTATAGAAAACAAGGTTTTTTTTTTAAAATAAAGTAGAATAGAAACTGTCTTAGTCTCCAGAAAGCCATTCAATTTCATTTGCGTTTTAAATGGCAGTGGGAAATCAGATAATCCTCAGCAATAAGTCTGAATGACATTGCAAATTTAGCATTTTTGGATCAACAAGAGAAAGAGGCGCTTTACAAACTCCCTTAAATCATCTGAAGAATAATTTTCCTAAATCCGATAGCTAGAGCCTTTTTTATGAACAAACAACAACTCAACATCTTACAAAAACTGTCTTTTCAAATAGAGCAGTATTTCCCAATTTTGGCAGCTTTAAGATGTGTGAGCTCCAACTCTGGGGATTTGCTGTTTGGGGAATTCTGGGAGTTGAAGTCCACATATCTTAAAGCTGCCAAGGTTGAGAAATACTGAAATAGAGAATAAGACTAATTTTTCATGCTGTATATGTCTGCGTAGGCCTCCAATCTTGGCTCGCTTCTTGAAAGAAATAAATCCTTCAAAGATTTAATTAGTTCTTAATTTTGGTATATATTTGACAGCCAGTTTGGTCTATTGGTTAAGGCATCAGGCTAGAAAGACTGTGAGTCCTAGTCCCAGCTTAGCCATGCAAACAGCTGGGTCAGGAACTCACCTCACAGAGTTGTTGCTGTGGAGAAAATAGGAGGGAGATGTGTTGGATATGTTCATCACCCTGAGTTATTTGTAAAAATAATAAAAGGTGAAGTACAGATTAATTATTTAAATATTAAGTGCTATTTAATGTACAGCTTTCACATTACAATGTGTCCTTTTGTGGAGGACTGTTCCTCACAGTTCTTGAATTCCTGCCTTAAAGGGAATGCGATATAGTTGTTTATTTGGCTTATTTGCTTATTTTTATCTTGCCATTTCTCTATGAAGCTTAGGTTTCTTCTCTCTTCCATATAAAATCTAAAGTAAATTTCAAGACTGCAAAGAGACAAGACCTGAGGCGTTTTGATCTATAACCACCACTCTGTTGAGTACAGTGTCATATACCAATATGAAACACTGTCCAAAATAAAAATTTTAAAATGATGCCTCTTAAGGTCTGTGTTATTCAGGTAGCCAATTAGTTCTGAACTTATGATTGGTTGCTTGGAAACTACTTGAAGTTACAATGAACACCAAAAAGTACTTATGACCTGGTTCCAAAGTTTTGATAGCTGTCCCCCATGGTCACTTGACTGCATTTTGGGTGCTCAGCAACTTACAATGTTTTTACCTAAAACTGGTGCTTACTTTTGGTTTTCGGCAAAAAGGCCTCATAGTGGACAATGGGTTTGCTTAATAAAATGGCCATCATAAAATCAGGTTGGCCATGTGATAACCTGTTTTATGACCATCATGGCTTATGACTGTAATGGAAAGGCTCCAGTTTGACTGCAAATTGAGAACTACCAGTAGTTCCTTCTGATTGGCAGTAGGTAGATTTTCTTGACAGTAACAGGGAGAAGTTTTTTAAGGACATTGTAAAAGTAATTATGGACATAACAGAGTTTTCTTATTGCTATTTTCTTGTAAAAAATAATTGGACTGTAATATTGTACAATAGGAGCCATATGCTAAATAAATAAATAAATAAATAAATAAATACAATAATAGGAAATATTTAAATATACATTTATTTACTCTAACATCCTGATCCCTGAAACTCTTACCTATGAGCATGTGATATGTTAACAACACATTCTCATTTTGATAGCTACTTCTAGCTACTTTCCACAACTTTGTTTACTATATTCACTTTCATATACTAAGTAGGTCTATCTTCAACCCCCCGCCCCCGACATCCCACTGCCATTGTTCCTGACACATTTGTCTTCCTCTTCATTGCAAAGAATAAAAAACCTGGAATTTCTTAATCTGATGGAAAGACAGGTTGCCACTGGATTACTTTCCCACCATCTGTGCTTTGCCTTCTGAGGTTGCCTGTTAGCAGCACTCTCTTGAAGCTTAGTTACTGTTTACATGAATAAGATAAGAAAAAATGATGTTTGTCTTTTGCGGATCAATAGAGCAACTCACTTGGAAATACTGCGTTACCAGAGACACCTAAAACAAAGCCATATTGAAATGGTAAAGCCTGTATTTGAAAACAACCTAAAATTACTGAATGAAGAGTAAAAATACTGCAGTTTACAGTTCCAGGCACTTTGATTTTCGTACTCGGTTCTTTTTAAAAGAGCCAAAATATCAAATTTTAAAAAATGAAGTCAAAGCAACAACCTACAGCCTTTTAAAAAAAGGGTTAAGCATGATATGGTAAATGAGTTTGATGGTAACATTATAATGAAATGTAGGTGAGCTGAGGCAAGAAACAATCCATAGTATACAAAGCAATGTTAATACAAAATATATGAATTCTTTCACCACATTCTCACATACAAATATAGCAAACTTTCAGTACGTGCAACTATTATTATAATGGTTCTGCCTACATTGTGTAAATATTTTATTGCCTTTTAATCCTTACCCTCAAACACAAACAGGATAATACCATTGTCAAAAACTGACTTTTTCTCATTTGTTGGAAAACATTATTATAATTTATTTAGACAATAAATGGCTTTGGCTGAACAATGACATAAATTTATGGTCCATTGCCATGATCTGCCTGCTATAATTCTCCCTGAAATATGAAGCATTCATATTTTGGAAGAGTGTTATCTTACATAGAAACAACACTCTACAAATAGGCTATCTCAGTTTGGGTGTAACTGTGCATAGTAGGGACTCTGCTGTCTATTGTGCCATTGAGGATCCTGGAAAATTGGGTTGTGCAGTATATCGGGTGGAGAAGCTCCATGAATAGAGGAAAGTTCTATGTGGACAGTGATAAGAACAAGGCTAGGGAGGCAATCTACAAAATTTACTAGCTTCCATTTTCTCACATACAAAATTTCATATTTTAAAAATGAATGAGGAAAACACCAGTACAGATACATTGGCTGTTATTAATCTACTTTACATTAAATACTGACATGTAGGTTATTTAACGTGGACTCTTTTTATCTCATTGTTATTACCGTTCAGTGTCACTTAGCTAGGTATTTCAAAATCTGAAAACACCCCTGTCAATCCACCCCCCAAAAAATCTATCCGTGCAAAACGATCTAAACCTAAACTTTAAATAAACAAATGAACTGCTATTTGAAAACATATATGTATTAAAGCGAAAGGCTGTTTTGTAAAGGAAAAATGAAGACACATATAATGATTAGCCACAGAAAGTTGTGCTTCAACAAATCTAAAATTAATTGTCAGAATGGGAACAACTAGAACTGTTCTTTTAAAAAGCCTCTTTTATATAAACGAAAGCAATATATTGTTGGCCTGTTGTTTCATTTCTGTTCGTATAAACCTGTCATAAATGTTTCCTTCTGCTGATAGAAAGATAGAAATACAACTATCTAACCAGTTAAATAGCAAAAAGGTAGCTGTCTATTAACTGAATCCCATGACTCTTTCAGCAACTGCCCACTTGAAAATGAGGGAAAACAACATTGAATTGCCTGTGATACTATCTTTACAGAACAATACTTGGGGAAATTCCCATTTCAGTTGTGGCTGATAATACTCTTAGGAGCTACAGACTCCAAAAGTTGGATTTTGACATTTGAAAACTTTCTAGTTCAGAAAGCACTAATATTAAGATCTTCTTTACAGACTCTAGTAACAGACAGTACAACCCATTGATCAACTAAAATGCTATATACTATTACTGGCTACCAACACCCCAGCCTATGATGGAAAATGGCATACACCATACCTGAGCAATTTCAGAGACCACCACCTGGAAAAGTTCTCCTTGATTATGCCGAACTTGCAACGTGTCACTCTGGTTATTCTCTAATCATTATATCAAGCTCCAAAGGTTCAGCAAACCCCTAGTCGGTTTACAGTTCTATAAGTTAAACTTTAACAGGCCTATCTCTCTGCTCTGTGCAGCCCTTTGACCAGATAGCTAGGTCACTGCTGCTCATTGTCTACAAAATCTGTTTAAAAAATCCACAAGACACAAGTCAATAGTGTGGACCTGAATAAATGTCTATGAGGTGAGAAGGATATCATTTTAAAATTGGTCAGCTAGATTACCTGGGAAAATGTTCAGGTACAGAACTTTACCCCAACTTAATTTTATCTTATCGGTAGGATAGCTCCCTGCGGACTGTCTTCAGAGCTTCAGGAAAGCCCCTGCGGCTAGATCTTTATAATGTCTACTTTGTAAATTCAATTTTATCCGAGGTAACAATTTGGAGTAAGGCACACGGTGAGGAGGCATTTGCCAGTGTTGAGATGTAAGGATGCGAAATATAAACAGAAGTGCATCATTTCAAAGAAAAAACGAATCTAGCTAAAACCAAAAATATCTTTAGACCAATATAAAATTTTTCACTGAAAATTCTATACTCTATACACAGCCAAGTGATAAACTTTTGCAGAAGAAAAAAAAATCCAGCAATTCTCCAATGTTTAGTAGATCATTGGAATAGTAGTAGATCATTAGTAGAGCTATGAAAAATCTTTTTAAAAAGCACTTCATAACACATGGGCCATTTCACATATGACTGCGCATATAGTTACAAATACGGTACTGAAGCAACTACCCAGCTCTGGATTGAGAGAAAGATGCAGCTGCTTTAAGGAGTTTTC